TTCGTTGGAAAAAATGTTTTTGTTTACTACAGTTTTTTTCTCTTGCAAAATATCCTTTTATATTTTAGCACCTCCCCAAATTTTTCAGCATTTTTTTCAACTGACTCAAGAAAACTATTATAATTGATTCAACACAACTTTATCTTGTTCAAAATATAATATCCTTTTTCTTAAAGAGATTCACGTTTAAGCTCTTTGAAATTATTTTAAAATGTCTACAACAACATATATATTAGATTGTAACGTATGTTATGTAAAATAATAAATTGATTAATTGAAAAATGTAAAATGAATGTATTATGTAAAAAGGAAAATGTAAATAAACGTGGTTCCAAAAAAAAAAAATTCTAGCAAATCACCTTCAAAACTAAAGACTTGAATATTACATAAACCTCTTTTACTTTTACAAAAAAACAACAATTTTAGTTTTACTAGGATTAACTTGTAAATGCCATAATTGGCAATAATTTGACATTGCATCTAGTGCTTTTTGCAGTTCTTCAGCAGATTCAGCAAACATAACTGTGGCATCAGCATATAAAAGAATATACAATTTAAAATGCATTTCAACATCAGAATCACTCAGGGTATCATTTACAATCCAGACCATTAAAATGTTGTGACAGAAAATAGTTTAAATCATTTAAAATAAAAAAAACAATATGGGAGATAAATTTTCACCCTGAAGAACGCCTGTATGACTTGTATCATCTAAGGTGATTTTGACCCGGTGATAAGGTTTATGTGTATGACATGATAAAAAAACACTCAATTCGTGTTATTTGAAAATTCCCCAATGCACTAAGAGGTTATGGCATGGACAAGTTAGGATGCACACACAAACACTGAGCAACTGTCGACATCAGCGCAAGCGGGTTCGACAAAAATCCTCTGGCCATGAACCATAATACTTCAAAGCATAAGCAAAATATAGTGCGGACAAAACAAATGATGGTAGATTTATTTGACTTCTTATGACATTGGCCTTTATTTTGCACAAAACATGGAGAATATTTATACTAAGTTATATATAAATCCATCCGTCTATAGAAATTATACTCACAAATGAATGTTATACTAGCATTAATGTTTTTCTTTCATATTATTGCATTGGTTTAGTTGAAGTTATGCTGTAAACGATGATGTATTATGCACAAATCGAAGTTTTGTTCTATTCTGCTCACTAAATAACTGTCACACCATTGTTGTATTTTGTACGTTTAGAGAATTAGTATGAGTGACATTTACGTAGTGACAATTGCTAGATGAATTGTAATAGGGCGGTAAAAAAAAAGAATATGTTTATAGATTGCCCTGAGTAACTGCTCAAAAAACATATCTGGTCTGTAGACAATTACAATAGAAGGTTTCTAAAATATTCATATGAAATCATTTGTGTGTGAAACTGGTAATAAAATACCGATAAATATTTCATTATTGAAATGATTACAAATAGCTTTAGTTAATCACATTCAGACAAACATTTTATTGAAACTTTGCAAGTCATCAGGCGTTTTATTAGCTCACCTGTGCTCAGAGGTGAGCTTTTGGGTTGCTAACGTGTCCGTCGTCCGTACGTCATTGTCCACAATTTCTTTAAACAACGTTCCTTCTAAACCACTTGAAGGATTTTGACCAAAGTTTACAGCAATGATCATAAGGTTGTCTTCTACAAAAACTTTATAAATGGTTATACATGATTAGGTCACAGGAGCTGAAAACAGATTTTAACAAGAACCGGTTGAACCGGATGATGCTCCTCGAGAAGGTTCTGGACACAGGAAAGTATAAAAAAATGAACAAAGGGCAAAAACTCCAAAATTAGGCAAGGCGGAGTTATGTTTTTTTGCACTGCACTTCTATTCAATGAGATCTATCTATCTATAAAGTTTCCTGATGATATCAGAGTTATGTCCCGGGTAAAATTCAAAGTGTAAAAATGAACAAAGGGCAATAACTCCAAAATTAGACCAGGCTTTGTTTAGGTTCTTTAAGCATTGCAGTTCTATCCAATTATATCTAGCTACCTACAAAGTTTTCATGTTGATATCTCTAATAGTTTTAAAGTTATGTCCCGGACAAAAGTCAAAAAGTGAAAATAAACAAAGGGCAATAACTTCAAATTAAGGCAAGGCAGAGTAATGATTCTTAAGCACTGCACTTCCACCCAATGAGACCTATCTATCTACAAAGTTTCATGTTGATATCTCTTATAATTTTAGAGTAATGTCCCGGACAAAGTTCAAAGCAGGGCAATAACTCCAAAAGTAGGCAAGACAGTGTAACAGTTCTTGTGCACTGCAAACCTACTTAATGAGATCTATCTACCTACAAAGTTTCATGTTGATACCTCTTATAGTTTAAGAGTTATGTCCTGGACAAAGTTCAAAGTGTAAAATAAACAAAGGGGAATAATTCAAAAATTAGGCAAGGCAGAGTTACGGTTCTTATGCACTGCACACCTACTCAATGAGATCTATCTACCTACAAAGTTTCATGTTGATACCTTTTGTTGTTTCAAAGTTATGTCCCGGACAAGAAAAGGGGACGGACGGACGGAAAGTCGAACATTCTTACCAGAGCTACATTATGGGGTTTTCTTTTGTTATTTCTTTTGTTCTTTTTAACCCCACAATGCAGAAAATAACCCCACAAGAGAAACGGAATGAATGACATCAAAGACATCTATTGTTATAAAAACAAGAGACCAAACCCCATAATGTAGCGCTAGTTTGTACGGACGGACGGACGGACGAACGGACGGACAAGGCGGCGATTATATGCTCCCCCGAAATTTTTCGGGGAACATAAAAATTAGATTAAAATTTCTACTCAGATCGAAACCACAATATGCCAATAACATAGATATTTGGCATGTAGCATCACCTTATGGTCTTGTACAATATAGATCTTCACCCTGGGGTCAAAAATGACACAGCCGTAGGGCTCAAATAGTTTACAAAGGCCTATAAAGGAAACAATATTTAAGTTTTCTATCATGAAACGGAAATGCATAGAGTTTAGATATGTTGCTTTTAAGCATTGTCAAATATATATTTCCAAAAGTAATATCAATCATGCCTCTGGGGTCAAAATTGGTCCCTGCCCAAGGGTCATTTAGATTTGTAATAGTGGCAGTTTTAAATAAGAATCGTTCGGACATATATTGATGACAATTTGGCCGTAATAAGGAACATATATTTGTATTCTGTGGGTTTGTTGTTGGGATACAAATAACAACCAAGTAGATTTAAATAAACAATAATCTTTTAATCAAGTCCCAATTATGAATACATGTATAATAATTATGTCTATGAATGAAAAGTTTATTAAATAATTTTTAAGTAAAGATTCCTTTTTAAGATTTGACCAGCTTTATGAAGTTATAAATTGACAGTAAGCAGTCGATTAAAATTAACAGTTGGAAGTGTTTACTTTAAGACCGAAGTCTTTATATAAAGTCAAGGCTTGAGCCTTGTTATACTGACTTAGACGGTGCAGTACCGAACTAACAATGACAAATTTCGGTTATTTTTATTTGTTTCCAGACAATAAATAACAATTGATTAGATAATAATGAAAATAATCTAAAACTCGATCCGTTTATCTTAATTGATTAAGAGCTAATTAAATTGTTTCTTTTATAATGTACTTGGCAAGACAATCAAAATGGATATGCCTCCATGAAAAAAGCATTGTGGAAAGTAAACAATTCATAAAAAAAGTAAGTTATTCAAAAGTCGTTCTGTAACAGATTAAATACTCTTTAAAGAAAATCATTTAAATCTTCTTTTTGTCTGGGATATACGATCGTATGTCCCAGTTTTTGTGAAAACTACAATGCTAAGAGATTAAATATTTGGCATGTAGCATTGCTTCGTATCGTATCGATTTATTCAGGGAATAGACATACATGTATACACATACAATTTTATCACAGATATCAACTTGAATATAAATAAAAACACACACATAAATGCACAAAAATAATTATACGATTAATCAATAAGTATGTTCTATGTAACCCTAGGATTGCCCATTAAGCTAAAAGCTTATTTCCAATGGGGTCCATTTTCTGTAAAATTATTACACTAACTTACATAATGATAAATGAATTATAAAGAAGTTAAACTTAATGACAATTTTCAATAATCAAAACACATTTTTCAATATAATAAGACAAGTACATTGTACACAAACAAAATGAAAAAAGTTTCTTTTAAACTAAAACATATCAAGTACACATAAACATGTTTCAAAACCTTATCATAAGTTACACATCAATTTAATAATAAATAAACATATTATTCACTTGTTTATCATTTTCATTACTTAAAAAAAGTTTTACTTTCGTTTTAAATGTTTGGATATTGTCAATTGATCTAATGTTGTCTGGTAAAGAATTCCAGTCTTTAATGGCATTGTAGAAAAATGTATTTTTTACATAAGAATCATTTTGAGGTAAAACAAAATTAAAATTACTGGATCTTAAATTGGATATTCTACAAACCTTAAACAATTCCTTTAAATAGGAAGGGCTTTTGTTGTAATAAACTTTATGAATGTGGTTGAGTCTTAACTGTCTAACTCTATCATTGACATTTAATAATTTAAGATCGGACAGAACCTTATTTGTCACTGAAGTCCTAGGAGTGTAGTCTTTTATACATTCATTTGTGTTGTTTGACAAATCATATCTTACATTAAAAGAAATATCATTTCTAATGTACATACATACCCCACCTCCATTTCTATTGCGATCATTTCTTAGTACAGTATAATTTTGAATGTCAATTTCACCATCATACACACTAGAGTCCAACCAAGTTTCTGATATCGAAAAAATTGCTGCATTGCAGTTATTAGCTATCGTTTTCAGTTCGGACATAAAAGTTACATAATTGTAAAGTAAAAATGTCTTATAAATCTTCTTTGAAATGACAATGCCAAGATCTTAGATATTTTGCTTGTAGCATCACTTGTTTGTGGTCTTCTATAAATCATGCCACTTGGGTCAAAATTATCCCTGCCCAGGGTTACTTAGTTTATGTAGACTTGTATAGGAAAATGCTTCTAGTCTTCTTTTGTGAAAATACATTTCATGACCTTAGAAATTTTGCATCTCGCTTTGCAAAGTGGACATCTACAAATAATGTGATAATGTATAGCTATATAGCCTACTGCTCGTTTCGTTAAATACGAGAATAGGTTAACATGTTAATAACTTCCGGTTTTGACAAAAAAATGAAAAAAGTGTCAAATAACTAGTAAGCAGTGTAAGTTGCTATGTTTATTAAATGAGCACAAGTTTATCCTTATATTTTTTTGTTAGAGTAATGAAGAATTCACCTTTTGTGTAGTTAAAGCATCATTTTACTTAAACATCTGTTAACTACGATTTGTTTCTTTTCGGATAAAACATTATTTCGGATAAACAAATCTACTTTATCCGCATTTAGTAATTTACAGGTTTTTCATCAGTATTTTGGGGAAAAGAACGTACCATTTGAAGCGAGATATTTTTCCTGTTTTTGAAAAAGTATATCAAAGAAAATACCCTTTTAAATTTATCTTGATAAACCTTGAGCAGATATGTTTGTCTGGTTCACTCTTCAGGCAGTTGCCTTGTCAAGTCTCCAGTTTGTAATTTCATACAAGGTTGTACTTGACTTGTGTTGTCCAGCTTTAAGAAAAGTGTAAATTATGCCAAAGATTACATATCACTTGAGAGTGAACCATGTACCAAAATTTTGCTGCTCCTTTAACTGACTAAATTACGCAACAGAGATATTTTGACACACATGCCATGGCCAGTCTGTGCGAAAATCCGTCGGTCTTTGGTCCTGGCTGAATAAAAATCATGCGGTCCGAGATAAATTTCCTTTCCGTCAGTCCTCATGTCCGAATAGAATTTTAAAAAAAGTTAAAAATATCAATGACCTGATTGATAACAAGTTCCCGGTGATGCAAATAATTTATTAAAGAAGATATTGACCAACATTAGATCTATTTTTTACATGTCAAATAAATGTTTGATTAACATATTTTATGCCTGTATGTCAATGCTCCAGAGTGGGTTATGTACAGTATCGGAAGAAGAAGAAGAAGAAATACCAGTCAACTCTGTCATCAACAATGGTAAATTTTGCCGTAAATTACAAATTTGAAAATTTTGGTTTTTGATGCCTGTTGAGTAACAATCTTAAAATAATCAAAAAATATTTAATCTAATATAATCAAAATCAACAACAAGTGGAATTGTGAATGTTTCTGCAGGAAACAGACAAATTTTCAATTGCAGGGATTTTTTCCAGGATTTTGGGAACATGACCCATACCCATGGAGTTGGGAATTTCAGTGGTGTTTTGTTAAAAATTGGGAAAAAATGCATGATTGAAATTTGCAGTGATTAAATGAATGCAAACTGTTTAAGATTGAGGAATCCCTAATTTTCAAAGATTTTAGAATTTTTTATTCATTATTTTTATTTTGTAACTTTCAATTGGGAATTTTTTCCTGTGGATTGGGAAAATAATATACTATTTTAAATTGGGAATATGACCCAATAACGGCTATAAAATAAGCCAAAAAATATCCCTGAATTGTCACATATTTTCGCAATGCCGCTTTTTATAATTAAAAAAATCGTAACCAAAAGGAAACATTGTTTTGTTAAAATGTGTGTAATAACACTTAAATGTAGTTTAGGAATTAAAATTACTAAAGATATTGTTCACATTAGTTGAGATGGAGGAATTTACCAGTATGTGTTTGTCACATACAATGAATATTTTCTTATGGGAGGGGGGTGTGTGGAGTGAATTTGGAAGGAAACAGCATAATGGTCTGATAATGAAAGGTTTTTAAAATTATATTTCAAATCTTTTCAATCACTTTTATGGTACAGTGTTTTCCATTTGGGACATACTACCATTTTCCTGAATAAGCTTTTTCTCTGTTCAAACTCCGACTCTCCAACCCCTAGTTTACTCTGCTAATATACATCATATTCGTCAACTGCATAAGTGCAGCAAAGATGGCTTGACATATTCAGACGTGCTCTGTGCTCCTACTTTTCTGTGCTTGGGAGTCCAAGGACTCCTACTTTGAAAATCCTAGTGAGAACCCTGCTTAAGTTATTTCAATTGGTCAGCATCTTCTTATGTTTCTATATTGATGGTCACACTAATTCGAAGAAAGACAATCATTTTTACATTCAACCGAGTTATTATAAAATAATGCTTGAAATGTCTGGGCCGGAAAAATATCATCCTGGCCGGAAATAAACCTAAGGGTCTCGGTCCTTGTGGCCTGAAAAAAAATTGACTTTCGCATAGACTGCACATGGCACAAATTTTCCTCCAACTTTCATTTACTTGACATATTGTGCTTAGAGGCATGCAGTTTTATATACTTAAAATATTTATTCCAGTATATACATTTTGTTGATGTAAATCTGGGACTTAGAATTGTTTGATTAACATATTTTATGCCGGTTTCAGAAAATCTCTGTTGCAGAGGACATGTTTCCATATACTTACCAAAACATTAATCGAAAATTTCATTTTTGAATTTTACAAGAAACTTTTATTTTGATGCTACTTTAAATATACATGTTTTGTCAGTGGCCAGTGAAAATTAGTTCGGGCCAGTGAAAATTAAAAAATAAAATTAGTTAAATATATAGTAGAATGAATTCAAAACTGGAATTCAGGCTAGTAAATTCAAAATCTTAAATTCATTGAATGTTGTTATATTATGGCTTAACAGTTGAGATAAATTTGAAAACTGTAGACAGAGGAATTTTTACGTTATTTTCCCTTGTAGAGGTAATTTCCGGCAATTCTTGCTGCAAATTCTTGTCAAAAGAAGTTTAAGCAAAGTGCATGAAAAAAAGTTTCTTCCTAGAAGCTTTATTGAAATATAGGAGAAACTTCAATGATGTTCAGTATTCAGACAGACAATCCTTGTTCTTAGACTTTTGAAATGGAGCAAGGGTTATATGTTTTAGATTATAGGCGTTCTTTTGCTGGCAAATGTTGCGATAAATAAATTCATTTTGGCTTGTGGAATGATGTACAATGTCCAGAACTTAAATGTTTTGCATGTACATGTAGCATCACTTAATGGCCTGCAATAAAATTTATAGAAACTTGGGGTCAATATTGGTTCTGCCCTGGGGTATATTATTTTATGTAGACTTAAAAAGGAAAACATACTTACAAATCTTCTTGTGTTAAACTACTTGACCTGGTATGTATCATTGTCTAGGAAATCACTAGAAAAGTATAATCATATTATTATAGTATCATAATTATGCATTGGGTCAAAAATGCCCGACATGGGGGCCAATTACTCAATTAGGTTACATTTAATTATATAGAAGTTGTGTAACTTACAGCTTAGATTTTTTGCATGTAGCTTAAGCTTATGGTCCACTATAATATTTATATAATTCTTACCCCTAGGTTCAAAAATGGCTTTGCCCTTAAGTCACATATTTTACAAAGAATAATAAGGGAAATCACATATACATGTATAATGTATTTTTTATTGAATAAAGCATGCATCATTTTCATAGGACTAAATAAAGTCTGATGATAACAGTTGACACTCAGTTGTACTGTTGTTATATTAGGTTTATATATTAAACTAAGTTTAGAAATTTTCTCAACAAACACTATGATGCTGAGAGCTTTGATATTATTCAGTATATAGCAGAACCTTATAGTCCTTTTATGCAAAATTTATATAAATCATGCCACCAGAGTATTTGCCTCATCTTTGTATTGGAAAATATATTCAAATATTCTTGTTTGGCACTTTGTGTCCTGGGTTACTAACAGATATATAGCATTTATATACATGTAGAAATGTCTAGTGGATATCTGCAAGCTATACAAATCATGGCCCTTGGGTGCCTTCAAAGGGTCACTTGGTTACTTCGAGTTATAAAGGGAACTAAATATCCTCTCATCAGAAATCTATGCTGCCAAGAGCTTAGATATTTGATATTAGTTATTATACCCCCGCACAACAAAGTTGTAACGGGGGTATACTGGAATCAGCTTGTCCGTCCGGCCATCCGGACGTCTCTCCGTCTGTCCGTCGGTTTTTCCTTGTCAGCCCAATAACTTGAGATTCCTTTGACCCACAGTCTTCATATTTAGCATGGATGTTAGTCATGATTAGTAGATGACCCCTATTGATTTTGAGGTCACTGGCTCAAAGGTCAAAGGTCAAGGTCACAGGGGCCTTGACTTTAAAAAGCTTGTCCGCCCAATAACTTGAGATTCCTTTGACCCACAGTCTTCATATTTGGCATGGAGGTTAGTCATGATTAGTAGATGACCCCTATTGATTTTCAGGTCACCGGATCAAAGGTCACATGGATTTTACTATAATAAGCTTGTCTGCTCAAATGCTTAAGAATACCTGTCCGCTGTGTATTGATTTTGACATTTTCACATTTGAAGCATGGAGAATACATAACTTAGCAATGCACTGGCTTAGTAAAGGGAGGTTGTCCTTGAGCTCTAAATGGCCACTGTTGATTCTGACAAAGTGGTATGCGGGGGTATTCACGCCATGACAGTGGCAGTTCTAGTTTATGTAAATATTTGGAGACTGTATATAGCAGCATATGAATAAATGGATTACCTCTGATTAAATATTAAAAAAAAAACACCAAAGAGTCAAATTATAAGATGACTTCTGTCAAGATTTTATTTTGTTAAATAAATTTTGTATTTTAATAATATAGGTTCATGTTTATTTTTTTTCCTTGGTTGAAGATTTATTTCAATAAACTTGAAAGGTATGGCATAAAAATGCAAAATCAGCCATACTCATAAAAATGCCTTGAGAAATTTTGACAGATCAAGTACATGTATTCATCTGTTATTATTATGGTTGTATTTGTCAATAAATCAGACTGCTTAAACATGTCATCTGACATTTTTATGTCATTTTTTTAACATTACAATGTGGGTGGTAAAATGACCAACTAAGATAAATTTTATAGCTTAACAGTTGATTTTAATATTTCCAATCACCAGTTTTTTTTGATTGATTGATTTATAATCCTGCACATTTGTAGCATCAGTATTTTTTAAAATATTTTTATGAAACTTGAAATATCTGTAGATGGTAGGCTGGAGATTATGCACATTTTTAGCTCGACTTTTCTATGAAAAGGGGAGCTATCCTACTCGCCCCGGCGTCGGCGTTGGCGTCACACCTTGGTTAAGTTTTTCGTACCACCCCACTTTATTTCAGAAGTATTACAAGTATGGCTTTGAAACTTACCATACTTGTTCACCATCATAACCTCCATCTACAGACAAGAGTACATAACTCTGTCAAGGTTTTTGACAGAATTATGGCCCTTTTTTGACTTAGAAAGTGTATTGAGCTTGGTTAAGTTTTTTGTACCACCTCACTTTATTTCAAAACCATTGGAGGTATTGCTTTGAAACTGACCATACTTGTTTACCATCACGACCTTCATCAACAGACAAGAGGACATAACTCTGTCAAGGTTTTTGACAGAATTATGCCCCTTTTTGACTTAGAAAATACATTGAATATGGGTAAAATCCACTTATTGCCTTAACCCTTTGAGATATTGCTTTGAAACTTTTAATGCTATTTCACATCATTACCCCCATCTGTACGCAAGAGAAGGTAACTCTGTCAAGGATTTGTTTTAAAAATTAAGGCCTTTTATCGACTTAGAATCTTGGTTAAGTTTTTAGTACCAGTCCACTTTTTGACTGAACTGTTTGAGATATTAATTTGAAAGTTGGAATACTTGTTTACAATCATGATTCCCAAACATGTCCAGGAGAAGGTAATTCTGTCAAAGATTTTATTTGAATTATGGCCCTTAACTGTCAATGTTTTGTATTATAGGCAAGCACTAAAAAACTTAAAAAATCTAAAAAAATTCATTCCTATCCACTTGTTCACTTTACCATAAATTATGTCATATAAACATTGCTGTAATATTCAAGGGTATCAAACAACTAGTTCACTTTAAAAAATACAGAGATTCTTGTATTGCCTTTTACTGCAAAAACTTTTTTTATTGGCAAGCAATAAAAAAGTCGAGCGCGCTGTCTTACGGACAGCTCTTGTTTCTTTACTTCCTATGTTGAAAATTCTGGTTGCTATGGCAAAAAATAGACTGAATTTCAAGATTTCTGATTCCAGTTTTTACGCTTTTTCACTATAACTTCTTTATTTCTTAAGGTATTTACTTCAAACTTTAAATTTTAGTTTCTGGTCATCAACCACATCATATGTGATAAGGTTTACAACTCTAGCACAAAAATTACCAGAATTACCTCCCTTGAACTTAGAATTTTCCTGAAAAAAATATTTGTTTTTTTAATACATGTAACTACTTCAAACTTCACATGTATGTTTCTTATTATCACTCAACATATGTGAGAAGGTTCAATACTCTAGCAATACTATTTTCAGAATTATGCCCCCTTGAACTTTTTCGAGAAATTGGTATTTTTTACTCCCAACTTCTTTATTCCTTATAGGATTTACATCATAATAATATGACAAGGTTTATAAATCTCGAATCCATATTGCCAGAATTATCTCCTCCTTAACCTTTGAATTTTTCTTATTCATTCTTTAATTTTCTTATTTCTTCATGGATTTACTTCAAATTCAAAATAAACATTCATTATCAACACCTACATTATATATTTTTTTTTTTTAATTTTCATCTTTGTTACTATACATGTTAATGCTATATTTGAAAATTGTTATTTTTTTACTTTTCTTCTTTGTTACTATAATTGGTATCATCATGTACAGTATGACAATGTTCATAAATCTAGCATCTTTATTTCAAGAGTTATCTCCTCTGTTATTCTGTTCATAAAAACTGTTTCCTGAGATCACTTTTAAAGATTTTTTCCAATAAATTAACTTAAAATAGAGAAAAGTTGAAACATTTGTTATACTTATTCATCCTGAGAAAATTGGACCTTTTGATTATTTGTCATATGAACATAATTTCCTTACTTGGCAGGGAAACTAACACATTACTATGATATCTATAGACAAACTTAGAACTCAAAAGATTTAAGTACATTCATGTCATTCATTAATTCATTCCTTCATTTGTCATTAATTAATTAATTCCTTCACTTGTCATTAATTAATTAATTCCTTCATTTGTCATTAATTAATTAATTCCTTCATTTGTCATTAATTCATTAATTCCTTCATTTGTCATTAATTAATTCATTCCTTCACTTGTCATTCATTAATTCATTCCTTCACTTGTCATTAATTAATTAATTCCTTCACTTGTCATTAATTAATTAATTCCTTCATTTGTCATTAATTAATTAATTCCTTCATTTGTCATTAATTAATTCATTCCTTCACTTGTCATTCATTAATTCATTCCTTCACTTGTCATTAATTAATTAATTCCTTCACTTGTCATTAATTAATTAATTCCTTCATTTGTCATTAATTCATTAATTCCTTCATTTGTCATTAATTAATTAATTCCTTCACTTGTCATTAATTAATTAATTCCTTCATTTGTCATTAATTCATTCATTCATTCATTCATTCATTCATTCATTCATTCATTCATTCATTCATTCATATATTTGAATGGCCAATGGCCCATCAGAATGTTGCTGGGGTTGTAACCGGTAGGGGACTTATGGATTGCTTGCAATACTATGATAATTGCTTGTTTAGATAGTAAACATATACTTTATATATATGTTTGTGTTCTTTAACAGATTGGAAGATAATTATTGCAACTACCCCAATTAGCAACAGCCAGCCTGATTCACCCATAAAGAAAAAGTGGGACATAATGAATGGAGTGAAAATTGTTAGTCAAGTCTGCATGTCTATAAAGGTGTAAATTTCTATCAATTATTAATGTGCTAGAAAAAACAAAGCATTTAATGGACCATGAAAATAATAATTAGTAATTAATCATAAAAACATCTATGTTTCATGAAGTTTACATGTACAGCCAAACATAAACTGGAGATAATTGATGTGTTGAATGTGGCTTAGATCCCTTACAGCTACATAACATTGAAATTGTGAGGTATTTCACCTGTATTATAAAACCTACATTAGATAAAGTGGAAAGAAGAAAAAACAGCAAAGAATTTAGCTTCAAACAGATGTATTGAAGGAGATAAAGAAATTTGACACTCCAGTTTAAGTTATGGTGAATTAAATGATTAAAAGAAAGAGATTTTTATTTTATGTTAAAGTGGCACATGTGTAAAATTAAGTAAAAGAAGCATATGTTATAAGCTAAAGTAAGACTATTAAATAGACTTGTTAATGATAGTAATTAAGTATTGTGATACAAACACAACAGTTTGCATACTAATTGGCAGTGATAATTGATGATGTATTTACAGATTCAACGCTGGATTTAATTCGGAAATATATGCAGTGAACTGTTAACCAAAAAACAAAAAGCAAAACAAAAAAGTTACCAGAGAATTAAACAATTGAAATAAGTATTCACAGTGGAAATGAAGTTGTCAGGCAGAAATACGAGGATGTTTTTTGTTGTGTGTGCATTTATGTGTTTATGTGGGAGTGTATGCCAAGCTGTAGCAGCAAATTGTAACTTGAATGACAGAGATGGCCTGCCGAGTGATGCCTGCACGTTTGATCTCCGTATGAAAGGTGCCCACCCACATGAGGTAGGAAATTTTATCCTCCAACACTCATTGTTGTATGTATGTGTAATGTTCAGAATTATGATTCTTTTTAAAAAAATATTTTACAGGCTATTTGCACTTCTGATCAAATTTTACATGCAGAAAAAATTCCATTAAAATATTTATGTCACAACAGAGTCTGGTGGTCAAATGTAACGGTTGAAATCAAGTTTATCACTAAAAGTAATAATGTGGGGTTAGCATGTGGGGTTGTTTGTTGAGAAATTGGTAATTATTTACCACTTAGATATCTAAGATAAAGCAGGTAAAGTGGACAAACTGCTGAGGTATGATCAAAAATGTGTAGAAATAGGCATAAATACCAGAGAAATGAACCAAACTTAAAGAAAATGTTATTGTTGAACTACTTTCAGTCAATATGTTTTCATGATCTTTTGCTTTCCTTTGACAAGAAGATGAAAGGTCAAGGTTACACTTGAAATGGTTTAATACATGTAGGTCTCATCATGTCTTTAAGAACATTATGCTGTTCATTTTCTTACAGTAATAAAAGTAATTTATATCACACAGTCTGTAGACATGTCATTGTAGTTGTATTGTGGTAGGATTTCAAGAAGTCACATGACAATGGTGTCAGTTAGTCACATGACAATGGTGTCAGTTAGTCACATGACAATGGTGTCAGTTAGTCACATGACAATGGTGTCAGTTAGTCACATGACAATGGTGTCAGTTAGTCACATGACAATGGTGTCAGTTAGTCACATGACAATGGTGTCAAGCAGGGGAGGTTAATCCAGGGTGTTCACTAGCCATGAAATCCTGAGGGTCATTTTGACTAAGTTTTACCAACTACAAGGTCAAATCCCCATGATTTTAACAAAATTTGACCCTCCACTTAAAATCCTGAGAGTCAAATCAGGCCTATTGGAAATTTGAAGTGTCAAAGAGTCATTTCAAGGGTCAAACGAACACCCTGTTAATCTAAATGCATTAAACATTCAGTTTTATCATAATGAGACCATTCAGTTATATAGTTTTGTTATATTGCAGCCTGATGGATACTTTTGTTCTGGATATGATGTGGAAGATATACTTGGTGTACAAGATCAACAAAGTTCTGATGGATACATAGGTATACATAAAAGCCTACTATATAATTTGACATGATTCTATTTTCTACTCTTATGATGAATAACTTTTAATTGTAAATCATTGGTTGTAACTTCTGAACACATCTTGTATTTAAATGAAATGAATAATGACTGTCAATGTACCTAAGTTGAAGCATCTTACACAAGTATATCTCCAAAACAGGGACAAGTAAGTAAGTTATAAGTTTAAAATTGAGTTATAGGGCAGTTATAAATTTGAATCTATCATTTTCTGCCTCAATGGCTCTGTGGGTATGGTCACTTACTTAGAGTCACTAATTCATATTTAATCCATAATGGGCAATGGAAATTTCAGTTTCTTTCATTTGAAAGTCAGTGGACAATACTTGATACTATGCACAGATTGGCACAGCACCCGATCTTCCTCAACTAGTAAAGCTGGAAAGTTTACATAGTACAATCTACCTTTACAATGCTGATGTAACTTAAAACCCAAATATGAGATCTTTTTTGTTTGAATTTTGTTTATTTTGATTTTTATAGAACTTTTTTATTTGTATAATAATGTACATTTAGTAAGTTATATTTAATAAGTAAGTCATGTATATGATTATGATGGACTATTTTACAGTGCGTTATGAGGCTCTAGCGAGTGCGGATGTTGCTCATCATGTTTTAGTGTTCGGCTGCAGAAATTTACGACGTAACACTGGTGAAGTCTGGTTAGTTACTGTAACTGCTTTAAAATTATACTGTATAAGTGGATATTTTTGCGTCACAAAAATTTTGCGAATGTCAAAAAGTGGACTTTTTTGCATGCAGGAATATTTGCGAAAATATGATTCTTATTTGTGTAAGATGTTGAATGACAACGTGATTTCAAATGATAGAGGAAAGTTTGCCTAAAAAGAAATAATTTTTGCGTGATCAATTATTTGCAAATAATTTCAATTCGCAAAAAACACAAATATTTCCATGTCGCAAAATTAACCACTTATACAGTAAATTATATGTTTGCATTTGTGTGAATAACAGTTTACATCGTTAATTTACTTTTCATTGTATAGAAGTGATATATTGTGTTGACAATGTTTAAAATTGTACTGAAATAGAAACATTTTGGTACATATACTTGATTCATACTAGCCTACATTTTATTGTATTACATTAAATCCAAAGTTACAGCAAATATTTAACAACGTCTTTTTACTGTTCCATAATGTAACACATTAACCTAACTCTGGCATTGCTGCTGTAATTCATTGATGAGGAGATTTTGTTTACTACTTATAGAAGATAGATGATCTCTGTACAGAATTAGTGAATGCAAGTTTGATAAACTGCCTGTGTTAACATGAAAATGTAGAACCATTGGAGAGAAAAGTAGAACCCCAAGTTTTTTCAAGTGCATTTTTTGTAATGAAATGATGTTGAAACACTGGAATCAGATAAAGTTCTCAATGAAAATCAAAACAAAGGAGAAGTTTAATTTGCTATCATATGATGGTTATATTGTAGGAGATGTGGACAAGTATGTGATGGAGATGATCAGATTATATTTGCATGGGCTAAAAATGCTCCACCATTATCTCTTCCAAAAGGTAAGTTAGAAAATAAGTTATTATATACATGTGTATGATCAGAACGGACCAGACGTTTAACCTGCTGGAACTGAAAATGATTGGTCTATGTATCTGGTTAAGAGCATGGAATATTGATATCCCGTAATTTACAAATGGACTGATCCAAATTCAAGGCAGGGTAACCTGTTAGTACATTACACAAATTCAGCAGGTTGAGTTATTTTATTATTACCAGTACATCTCTCAGAAATCATGTAGCATTAGTAATCAGTCACTTGGGGAAAAATTGATTATTACTGGTAATGAACGCCCTTTCTTCTTCACTTTTGTTGTTATATTTCATCGACTGATGAGATAAAATAAAAAATGTCACAGTCAGCATAAAATTCAACTAACCAAACAAAGGAAATGTTGAGGTAAAATAATCTTTATGTGCTAATCAGGGCCTGAAAGTTTATAATTTATTCTTATGATTATGCCCCCATTTTGAAAAAAAGGGGGTATATTGCTTTGCACTTGTCGGTCCGTCGGTCCGTCGGTCCGTAGACCAAATGGTTTCCGAGTGATAACTAAAGAACCCTTAGGCCTAGGAACTTCAAACTTGGTATGGTGATTGGTCATGACCAGTAGATGACCCCTATTGATTTTGGGGTCAAGGGGTCAAAGGTCAAGGTCACATTGACCTTGTAAAGCAAAAAACGGTTTCCGATCAATAACTAAAAGAACCTTAAGGCCTAGAACTTCAAACTTGGTATGGTGATTGGTCATGATCAGTAGATGACCCCTATTGATTTTGGGGTCAAGGGTCAAAAGGTCAAGGTCACATTGACCTTGTAAGCAAAATCGGTTTCCGATCAATAACTAAAGAACTTTAAGGCCTAGGAACTTCAAACTTGGTATGGTGATTGGTCATGATCAGTAGATGACCCCTATTGATTTTGGGGTCAAGGGGTCAAAGGTCAAGGTCACATTGACCTTGTAAGCAAAAACGGTTTCCGATCAATAACTACAGAACCTTAAGGCCTAGGAACTTCAAACTTGGTATGGTGATTGGTCATGATCAGTAGATGACCCCTATTGATTTTGGGTCAAGGGGTCAAAGGTCATGTCACATTGACCTTGTAAGCAAAAACGGTTTCCGATCAATAACTAAAGAACCTTAAGGCCTAGGAACTTCAAACTTGGTATGGTGATTGGTCATGATCAGTAGATGACCCCCTATTGATTTTGGGGTCAAGGGGTCAAAGGTCAAGGTCACATTGACCTCTTGGGTAAAAACGGTTTCGGATCAATAACAAAAGAACCCTTAGGTCTAGGACTTCAAACTTGGTATGGTGATTGGTTATGACCAGGAGATGACCCCTATTGATTTTGGGGTTAAGGGGTCAAAGGTCAAGGTCACATTGACCTTGTAGGTAAAAACGGTTTCTGATCAATAAACTAAAGAACCCTTAGGCCTAGGAACTTCAAACTTGGTATGGTGATTGGTCATGACCAGCAGAGGACCTATTAATTTTGGGGTCAAGGGGTCAAAGGTCAAGGGTCACATTGACCTTGTATGTAAAAACGATTTCCGATCAATAACAAAAGAACCCTTAGGCCTAGGAACTTCAAACTTGGTATGGTGATTGGTTATATCCAGCAGATGACCTATTGATTTTGGGGTTAAGGGGTCAAAGGTCAAGGTCACATTGACCTTGTAGGTAAAAACGGTTTCTGATCAATAACGAAAGAACCCTTAGGCCTAGGGACTTCAAACTTGATATGGTGATTTGGTCATGATCAGTAGATGACCCGTATTGATTTTGGGTCAAGGGGTCAAAGGTCAAGGTCACATTGACCTCTTAGGGCTAAAAACGGTTTCCGATCAATAACTAAAGAAACCCTTAGGCCTAGGAACTTCAAACTTGGTATGGTGATTGGTCATGACCAGCAGATGACCCCTATTTATATTGGGGTTAAGGGGTCAAAGGGCAAGGTCACATTGACCTTGTAGGTAAAAACGCTTTCCAATCAATAACTTAAAAACCCTTTGGCTAGGAACTTCAAACTTGGTATGGTAATTGGTCATGACCAGCAGATGACCTATTGATTTTGGGGTCAAGGGGTCAAAGGTCAAGGTCACATTGACCTTGTAGGTAAAAATGATTTCCGATCAATAAACTAAAAACACTTAGGCCTAGGAACTTCAAACTTTGTATGATGATTAGTCGTGACCAGCAGATGACCCCCTATTGAGTTTTGGGTCAAGGGGTCAAAGGTCAAGGTCACATTGACCTTGTAAGTAAAAACGGTTTCTGATCAATAACTAAAGAACTTTAAGGCCTAGGAATTTCAAACTTGGTATGGTGATTTGTCATGACCAGCAGATTACCCCTATTGATTTTGGGATCAAGGGGTCAAAGGTCAAGGTCACATTGACATTGTAAGTAAAAACGGTTTCTGATCAATAACTAAAGAACACTTCGGCCTAGGAACTTCAAACTTGGCATGGTGATTGGTCATGACCGGCAGATGACCCTCTATTGATTTTGGGGTCAAAGGTCAAGGTCACATTGACCTTGTATGTTAAAACGGTTTCCGATCAATAACTCAAGAACCCTTAGGCCTAGGAACTTCAAACTTGGTATGGTGATTGGTCATGACCAGCAGATGACCTATTGATTTTGGGTCAAAGGTCAAGGTCACATTGACCTTGTAGGTAAAAACGGTTTCCAATCAATTAATTAAAAACGCTTAGGCCTAGGAACTTCAAACTTTGTATGATGATTGGTCGTGACCAGCAGATGACCCCTATTGAGTTTTGGGTCAAGGGGTCAAAGGTTAAGGTCATGACCAGTAGATACTTGATAACCCTTATTAATTGTTTGATCACTGGGTCAGAAGTCATGCATAATAACCTTATCACATGACTAATTGGCTGCTGATAGGGGGCATACATGTTTTACAAACATATCTTGTTTAATTTGGTCATTATGTTTTATTTTTATATGAGATGTAAGTTACTTATTGTAATTTTACTATTTTCAGATGTTGGTCAACATATTGGCAGAACAACTGATATCAGACATATTGTTATACAGATACATTATGCCAATGCTTTAAATGGTAAATGTTACTTTTTGTCTATATTTGTAACTTACCTAAGTGCATCATGCTCAAGCATGATATAGTTAGTGATCAGCTTGCTGTTGTAGGTTGTCAATCATCACTTTCTGCTACCATCTTCTAAACCACAAAGACAAGTGTGATGGAGAAGTGCAGAAAATGATGCGGGGTGGTCCTTATACATTTCACTAAAATAATGACAAACATCATTATTGTGTTGATAAAGATGGCCAACATGACTAGAAATCAATGGAAAAAACACATTTCAACATGAGCTCTGTATTAGCTGCAAAATATTATAATACGCAATATGCGTTATCTTTGGGTAACTTAAACTATACAACAATATCTGAAATTTTTCAATTCAGAAATATAAATTCAATTTGAATAGTTGTAATGATTTTAATAATATTATATTTTCAGCATCTGACAATTCTGGGATCAGACTGTATACTACAAGACAGAGGTTTGTCATATGTTACATTATAGAATATAAATAGTAAAGTTAATGACCTTTTTATGCCCTCACAGAGTGGGAGCATATAGCGTTGCACTTGTCCGTCCGTCCGTCCGTATGTACGTCTGTCCGTCTGTCCGTACGTCCCGAAATCTTGTGAACGCAACTCCTCTTAAACCGGATGGCAGATTTTGCTTAAACTTTCAGGGATGAACAACCTCAATGTGTAGATGGTAGTAAAGGAGGGAATTTTTGCGCTGCCGACCAAATTTAACAGAATTATGGCCCTTTGTTGATTGTTTCACTATATACTATGTAGAAATTTTGTGAACGCAACTCCTCTTAAACCGGATGGCAGATTTTGCTTAAACTTCCAGGGATGAACAACCTTAATGTGTAGATGGTAGTAAAGGAAGGAATTTTTGCTGCGACCAAATTTAACAGAATTATGGCCCTTTGTTGATTTTTTCACTATATACCATATAGAAATTTTGTGAATGCAACTCCTCTTAAACCGGATGGCAGATTTTGCTTAAACTTCCAGGGATGAACAACCTTAATGTGTAGATGGCAGTGAAGGAAGGAATTTTTGCTGCGACCAAATTTAACAGAATTATGGCCCTTTGTTGATTTTTTCAGTATATACTATATAGAAATTTTGTGAACGCAACTCCTCTTAAACCGGATGGCAGATTTTGCTTAAACTTCCAGGGATGAACAACCTTAATGTGTAGATGGTAGTAAAGGAAGGAATTTTTGCTGCGACCAAATTTAACAGAATTATGACCCTTCATTGATTTTTTCACTATATACTATATAGAAATTTTGTGAACGCAACTCCTCTTAAACCGGATGGCAGATTTTGCTTAAACTTCCAGGGATGAACAACCTTAATGTGTAGATGGTAGTAAAGGAAGGAATTTTTGCTGCCACCAAATTTAACAGAATTATGGCCCTTTGTTGATTTTTTCACTATATACCATATAAATGTTGTCAGTGGGGGCATCCGTGTCCTTTGGACACAGTTCTAGTTTGGTAATGTTTGTTATCTCTGTATGTTGATAGTTCAATGTACATATTATTCAATGTACTGTGAATTCACTTCGTGGGCATGAAATTTTGTGGTTTTATCAAAACGGGCATTTTCGTGGGTTCTTAAATTCGTGGATTTTCTCAATTGTAAAAAAAAATAATTTAATGCAAAGTAATCATACACTTAATCGCCGCGCATTTTTACTCACGCATGTACACATCTTTACATGTCACACAGCGCTTGTCAATAAATTAATCCTTGCCTTTGGGCATAAGTCAAAGATAGCACAGTTACTCCCGATAATTGACAGCAATTAACACAAGAGTAAACTGACAATTTTTATAAGCTCTAATTATTGCACTGGGTTCTCATATTTACTTATGTGAAGTATTCTTGATAACACATTCAAGTAGCCTACAAGGATCAAGTAGTCCACGTGATGTGTATATATGCGATCGACATTTGTGACAACAAATTGAAGACATATAATCGACTTTTCTTTCAAGTTTTTTAAATATTGCAAACCTAAACTATTTATGGAAATAGTCTGTCACTAACCTGATAATTTGTATATATTCATTACACAAAATTCAGCCGTTATTTCTAACACTGACGCATATTTGTTATATATAGAATAGAGGCATGGTTAGAAGTATTTGTTGGCATAAAATTTTATTGGATCTTAATTTCGTGGATTAACCTACCCACAAAAACCACGAAAATTCTTGCCCCATGAATAATAATGATTTTACAGTATGTATTACTATGTGTATGTATTACTATGTATCTCCATTTTCTCACGTATTATTTAGTCGCTGACTATATGCTAAGTATAATATTTCATTTTTATTGAGCAAAGTTTTTCTAGTATCTCATAGTGAACATATGCCCATTTAGTGAACATAATATTTCAAATTATCTTATTTGTTGAATGTAATACATACATTGTAATTTTCTCATATGTTCAACAATGCAATTTTCTTATCCGTTGAATATAATATTTCTGTTAAGAAATAATATATCCCAAACAGTGATTTTATTGCTAAATGAAATCACTGTTCTGAGTTCGGATGCGAGGCATTATATCAAGAAGGCTGTGCCCTCGAGATATAATGGTGTGTATCCAAACAACAAACAGTGATTTTATCAAGTGATAAGATCACCGATTTGGATATGTTATTTTGATTCTAACATTGCATCAACAAGTAAATGCTGCCTGATTTGTTTCAGTACTTATTTTCAGCGCAAAGCATTTTTAGTGCTTACGTCACATGTCTAATGGTTACATCACAAGTCTAAATATAGAATGTCAACAGTGAATTTATTGCATAATAACACACACTTTTGGTTCTTCTATATTCAATAGTGAAGAATGCGGGTGGTGTTAAAATGCATAATAACACACACTTCGGCTGTTCTTTGTTCAATAAGAAAAAATGCATGTTGTGTTCAAAATTTCTCATTTACTGAGTGTAGTTCAACTTTTATAACGATAATGTCGTTTAATATCTCAAAATTTGATCTGCTTTTTTTGTTTTTACAGACAACCCTATGTATCAGGAATTTACTTACTACTAGGCTATGGAATAACCATACCAAGAAATACTGCAAGTAAGTAACTGACTATCACACATAATATTAACTTTATATTGCACTCTCTCTCTTGCTGACCCAGGTGATAGCCTTGCCATTAATACAACACTTTGGGTTTTTTTTTTTATACAACCCCTTTTTAGCTTACCTGAGCATGCTCAGGGTGAGCTTTTAGGATCGATGATTGTCTGTCGGCCGTCGGCCGTTCACATTTAGTTGTTAACACTCTAGCGGTCGCATTTTTGCCTCAATAATCATCAAACTTGGTCAGGATGTTTATCTAGTTGATAGCTCGGATGAGTTCGAACATGGGTCATCTCGGATGAGAAACTAGGTCACAAGAGCTAAAAATAGAAAAACCTTGTTAACACTCTAGAGGTCACATTTTTGCCTCAACCATCATCAAACTTGGTCAGGATGTTTGTCTAGGTGATAGCTCAAATGAGTTCGAACATGGGTCATCTGGGATGAAAAAGTAGGTCACCGGAGCTAAAAATAGAAAAACCTTGTTAACACTCTAGCGGTCACATTTTTGCATCAATCATCATCAAACTTGGTCAGGATGCTTATCTAGTTGATAGCTGGGATGAGTTCGAACATGGGTCATTTGGATGAAAAGTAGGTCACCGGAGCTAAAAATAGAAAAAACCTTGTTAACACTCTAGCAGTCACATTTTTGCATCAATCATCATCAAACTTGGTCAAGATGCTTGTCTAGGTGATAGCTCGGATGAGTTCGAACATGGGTCATCTCGGATGAAAAAGTAGGTCACCGGAGCTAAAAATAGAAAAACCTTGTTAACACTCTAGCGGTCACATTTTTGCATCAATCATCATCAAACTTGGTCAGGATGCTTATCTAGTTGATAGCTCGGATGAGTTCGAACATGGGTCATCTCAGATGAAAAAGTAGGTCACAAGAGCTAAAAATAGAAAAACCTTGTTAACACTCTAGCGGTCACATTTTTGCATCAATCATCATCAAACTTGGTCAAGATGCTTGTCTAGATGAAAGCTCAGATGAGTTCGAACATGGGTCATCTCGGATGAAAAACTAGGTCACCGGAGCTAAAAATAGAAAAACCATGTTAACACTCTAGAGGTCACAATTTCGCCTCAATCATAATCAAACTTGGTCATGATGTTTGTCTAGGTGATAGCTCAGATGAGTTTGAACATTGGTCATCTCGGATGAAAAAGTAGGTCACCGGAGCTAAAAATAGAAAAACCTTGTTAACACTCTAGTGGTCACATTTTTGCATCAATAATCATCAAACTTGGTCAAGATACTTGTCTAGGTGATAGCTCGGATGAGTTCGAACATGGGTCATCTCGGATGAAAAACTAGGTCACAGGAGCTAAAAATAGAAAAACCTTGTTAACACTCTAGTGGTCACAATTTGACTCAATTGTCATCAAACTTGGTCAGGAAACTTGTCTAGGTCATTGCTGGGAATAAATCGAACATGGATCATTGTCAAATCTTGTTAAAACTCTAGTGGCTACTGTTGTGATCAAATATTCTGTTAATTGGTCTGAAAGTTTGTTTTGATGATTTCTAAGTCAAGATCGAACATGGGTCATCTTGCATGAAAAACTAGGTCACACCGCCTAAATATGGAAAAACCTTGTTAACATTCTAGTGGTCACATTTTCGACTCAATTATCATCAAACTTGGTCAGGATGCTTGTCTAGGTAATTGCTTGGATGAGTTCGAAATCGCATGTGAAACTAGGTCACCGGAGCTAAAAATAGAAAAATCTTGTTAACACTCTAGTTGCTACTGTTTTGATCCAAGTATCCTGGAAATTGATCTGAAATTTTGTTTTGATGATTTCTAGGTCAAGTTTGAATATGTGTCACCTGGGTAAAAAACTAGGTCGCACTGCTCAAATATGGATAATCCTTGTTAACACTGTAGTGGTCACATTTTTGACTCACCTGTCATGAGACTTGGTCGGAATGCTTGTCTAGGTAATTGTTTGGATGAGTTTGATAAGTCAGGTGAGCGATCTAGGGCCATCATGGCCCTCTTGTTTCACTGGTATTATGTACCATTTATTAATGAGAGACCTAGTCTTATTCCATATTTAATTCATATCACATACATGAACATGTACTGAGAATTTCCAAGCATACTGTTACACAGACAGTTCTCGTTGTCTGTCTCATTTTTAAACAAAATAATATGACAAATTTTTGTATAAAAGGTCCAGATGGCATTCATTTCTTCTATATTAATTTTTGTTTCCCCTTCTATTTTGTATTTTCTGTTTAAGATGTTATTATAACAAAAATAAATATTTAAAAAGATACACAATACAAAATAATTGAGCTGCTGCCATTATAAGTTAATATAGCATTGAATGTATTTTATATATTACAGAGTTTCATGTAGATTCATCATGTAGGTTTAATTGGGAAGATGGTATTGTTCCCTTTGGTTTTAGGACACATGCTCATAGCCTTTGTAAGTGCTGTATTATAGTATACTTTTTGTATCAAGTTTTCAATTTAATATGTGTATGCCCCAGTAGATGAATAGATTAATTTGCTGATTTTGAACTACTTGCCTTCCAATGCTGTTTGTTTGAATTGTGTCAGGAACATTGAGCTGTTAAAATATTGAATATTGGTCTGTGGTTTTACTTGAACATCAGTGAAGGCGATTTATTATAAACACATCTTATAAAACTTTCTTTGGATTCTTTCTATCCTAAAATTCAAGAAAACTGTTTGTGTGCTTTTTGTATAGGCAAAATTATTTACAAACTCTGACAGTTTTCCCAAATGCAAGAATTTCTTTGTTTCAGAATAAGTATTCATCATAATTTTAACTTAGATGCTTTCTTTCTTTTTGAGATATAAGTGTTTTTAGTGAATATCATAAAATGTTTTGTGTCAATTTCAAAATGTAATTGACGATAACAAAATAGTGCATGCTTTTCGTGTCCTATGTATATATTATTAATATTTACTGTTGATTAGGTCGTGTTATATCGGGTTATAAAGTAGTAAATGGTGAATATAAGTTGATTGGCAAGGGAAATCCACAGTGGCCACAGGTAAGTGCTGATTCAGCATTGTTTAACGTGAATTGGTCTTTAATGGAAGGTCTGTAATACAATGCATAATTACGTTGATAGTATTGAGTACTAGACATAACAGCAAATCACTAAATCATTATACATGGATGTTGTTGGCAAGTGTGAGATACATGATCTGATATTACATATATTTAAATAGAAGATATTTAAATAGCAGATTATAAAGTGTTCTAGAACAAATTATTATTATTCATTGGATATATGGTCATTCTTAATCACTTAGAACTTTATCAACATTTTATTTTCAAGCAGCACTTTATAAGAAAATTCAATTGATACATTTCTATTTCTGTTTTTATCAATATTCGAAACACTAATGGAAAATGTGCCCATTATAGACATGTTCACTTTAAAGGTAGATGTAGGGTTAGGGTGGTCAGCACCAGGAAGCTGACTGAAAAGATATGACTTAACTAAGATAAATGGCTGCATATATTCAAAAATTCTGTTTGGTATTCTGTTTAAACACATTTATAGTAAAATTGATCAACAGTTTACTGGTTGGGGAGATAACTTCGGCTGGTTGATAAACTCGGCTTTTTATAATTAAATCGAGTTAACAGAATTTTTAATCTAATCAAGCTCACCATCTCATACTATCTCTGGAATTCGACAATATCTGGAAATTTTGTCAAGTTTGGTAAGATATTTAAAAAATAACACAGACTTTTACCTGTTTGTTTACAAAACATGCGTATAAAAAGTACGGGAATCCCATTGTTGCGCGCATGTGCAGCAGATGCTCATTTTGAGGCCCGCACAGGGGTACTTTTCTATATTGACCGGCTACCGGTAAAGCAGACGACGTTTACTTATACATTTTGTAGATGAAATTCAGACTCACTTTTGTCTTGCTAACTCAGAAAAAAGGCTGATTACACAATTTTAATCTTTAAGTGGAATGGATTGAAAAACTGGTGTTAAATGCTCCTTTTATATGTTAATGTGTAGGTTGAATATCACAAAATTAATTTCTTCTTCACTCTGTTAAGCTTAGCAAAAATAAATTTGAATCACTAATTCTTTAACTACATATTTCGTTACACGTTAATAAACGATAATGCATGTGTTTTTACGTAAAAATGGTTTATATGTTACATAGTACGTTGCATATAAACATCGTGTTATCATAGATATTCATTATACTAACGTAATGCTCAACAATTTTGGTAACAAATATTTTTTATTTGACATAAATGAACAGCAAAGGAATAATAAAATGTCTAAACATGTTATTTTACGTTTTCACTTACTCATTTAAGAAGAAAAAAGCAAAGAGCCGGAATTATCTACTCGCGCGCGTTAAACATATCCTTTTTACTTACCTCTTCCAGGGCCTCTCAAAATTACTCGTTATGTTTCTAAATATAACTTTTATGGTGATACCGGAAAATCGAAGAGCTGAAGTTTATTATGGTGCAAGATTCATCAGAATACATAAACAAATAAATGAAATATACCCCAAAAACACTGATTCTCGGCTGAGTTTATCTCCCAAACCAGTATGTTTGTATTTTATGATTTACATTAGTGGTGAATAGCACAAGGTATAAGATGCTGCCTGTCCTTTCAGGTTTGTGTCAGACAGATGTAATGTATTATATCAATGTCTTTAAGAACACTACTGTGAATCTGTCAAAGTTATAACTTTTCCCACTTGTTTTCAGGCATTTTACCCAGTTGAGGACAATATTAGAATAAATCCAGGAGACATTCTGGTAAGTTTGTAAACAAATGAGATTGTTAATCTTACTGTCCCAGTTTAAGTGAGTTCAGTCTTTTCTTGTAATGGTTGTTTTTTGACATTTGAATATTTGTGATGTTTTGATTAACATTGTGCAAGGACTTGTTGGATAGATTTCAAAAATTGCTGTAATTGAGACCTTGAGAATATTAGGTTTTTTTATAAAATCAAGTTTGCACTAGTTTCTACAATATGAATACAATAAATTACCTAAGTGACATTTTTGTACAGTGTATTATAGGTGTGTAGTTAGATAAAGAGGTTTATAAAAGAGCATTGTAAAATAGTATGTATGCACCTCATTTGCCTAGCATTTTCCCTTCACTGTTGATGCTTAACATTCTGCCAGGGTCTTTTTAATTATTTGCTGTGTTTTTAAACTATCTAGTAAGCTTATGGAAAGTTGATTGCTCTTTTTGGATGTCCATTTGTGTCCTAAAAAATGCATAAAAAAACCGAGGTTGTCCTTTAAATATGAAAGCAGTTGTGAAATAGAAATCCATTTGAATTATTCCTTTGGAGTTTTATCCAAGTTTTTCTTGATCACATTTTGATGAATGTTAATTCTGCAATATCAGAACAAAAACAACAAAGCATGGCAATTTGCAAAATGTACAAATTTGATGGAGATTTTAAATATAATTACAGGCAGCAAGATGTACCTATAATTCTACTGGAAGATATAGACCCACAGAAATAGGGTATGTTATTTATTTTTATTAACTGATTTTCTCAGATTTATCTTGGCATATGTTTATGTTGATTTTTTCACAGCAGTTTATAATGTAACCTCAATTTGATTACTTAGGGAACATAGATTGATAATTTTTTATTCTAAGCCTGCATCTTACAACTTGATTGTCTACAATTTAAGGTATGTGTAATGTATTAATTTCTATGATAAATATGATGGAAAAAACAATTACATTTTGTTTAATGCAAATAATTTTCAGATGCTTTCTTCTTGGTCCTTCAGGTCATCAGCCATATGATTGCACCACATTGAAATTAGAAACATAACTTATTCTATGATTTTACACTCTAAATTGGAATTATTGGTAAACAATGTTGGATAATAATGTCTTATTTGTTTATTTCAGGTCAACGGCTAATGATGAAATGTGTAATTTCTACATCATGTATTACATGAACAGTTCTATGGAGAATTCTGGTAGACAACGTGAAAGTACATGTTTTCAAAATGAACAAAGGCAGGTTTTCCGGAACATTCCAGCTGACTCAGATGTTCCGTTACCACCAAACCCTGCTTTAGAGGGCACAGCAATGGGTCACCATCACCATGGAATGGGTGGCAACAACCATGACGATACTGACCACACAAAAATAGATGAGCCTCCAGTTGTCAACGAGCGTCCCCAAGTGGATTTACATGGAAATCTTCAAAACACAGATAAATCCGGTAATGGAATATTAAGGAATAATTATGGGTCTCAGGGAAAGTTATCTACCTCATTTGGTGACAGTTTATTAGATGATGTTTATCGGAACAATGATCAGGGTTATGGCAAGAAAGGTTCAGGGTATTCAGGTGTTGACATGCGTAGACCACCATCTTATATGATGGATTATCCAGGATTAGATGATTATTATAATGAAGTTATTCAACAGCGCAGTCGTAATCGATTAAAAAAGCCCATTTATGATCTATATGACAACCCTGATTATGATGTCAGTTTTTCCGAATTTCCGAAAAAGTCGTACCCAGCCTTGAGCCGCAATCGTAATAAAATGTTTAATGATAAATATGATGAATATGCTGCAAGTGCAAATTCCAATCTACCTAATTCAGATGTAAATAGATTAACGTCAAAGTCTGATAGTCATTCTAGACATGGCATAGTCAAGGTAACCCAGAAACAGAACCATTCAGAAGCTGGCTTACATGGTACTGATAAATCAATGGAAGGTATTCATATTGGAGTCTGGTTATTGTCTGTATTTGGCTGTTTATCCTCGCTTTCCGTAGAATAATATTTTAATCTACCAGATGTTGTGAGCTAAGCTAGTTTATAAGTCTCCTCTTGTGTAGCATGTGTTGTCAGTTTGATGCAGATATATGCAGCTGAGTAGTTGGTTTATCTTAGATGAAATCATCATTATCAACTAATAATGAGAACAGCTTGGTCTATAGGAAGACCAAGCGAACAATCTGTACAGTTCTACCAGGTTTAATACTCTTAGCTAATTTAACAGTTTAATTATTTAAAAAACCTAATACTCACTTTGGACAAAATCAAGACCCATTCTTTTTTATGACCAATAGATTGAAAACGTTGTATATCAGTTAAATTGATAGTACAAACTGTACTATGAAATAGGTAGCATAAATTTCAGTGCTATTAATTTAACTAAGTTAAACACAAAAAAATTCACTTTTAAGTGTATGGATAAAGTACCCAAAATACTGAAACAACGCATCCTGATATATGTCTTAAGTATCTTGCTATTGAAAGTCTTCATTTGATAACGGGCAGTTTTAATATCCTCATAATGGTAATGGGCAGTTTTAATATCCTCATAATGGTAATGGGCAGTTTTAATATCCTCATAATGGTAATGGGCAGTTTTAATATCCTCATAATGGTAATGGGCAGTTTTAAAGTCCTCATAATGGTAATGGGCAGATTTAATATCCTCATAATGGTAATGGGCAGTTTTAAAGTCCTCATAATGGTAATGGGTAGTTTTAAAGTCCTCATAATGGTAATGGGCAGTTTTAAAGTCCTCATAGTGGTAATGGGCAGATTTAATATCCTCATAATGGTAATGGCAGTTTTAAAGTCCTCATAATGGTAATGGGCAGTTTTAAAGTCCTCATAATGGTAATGGGCAGTTTTAATATCCTCATAATGGTAATGGGCAGTTTTAATATCCTCATAATGGTAATGGGCAGTTTTAATATCCTCATAATGGTAATGGGCAGTTTTAATATCCTCATAATGGTAATGGGCAGTTTTAATATCCTCAAAATGGTAATGGGCAGTTTTAATATCCTCATAATGGTAATGGGCAGTTTTAAAGTCCTCATAATGGTTATGGGCAGTTTTAATATCCTCATAATAATGGGCAGTTTTAATATCCTCATAATGGTAATGGGCAGTTTTAATATCCTCATAATGGTAATGGGCAGTTTTAATATCCTCATAATGGTAATGGGCAGTTTTAATATCCTCATAATGGTAATGGGCAGTTTTAATATCCTCATAATGGTAATGGGCAGTTTTAATATCCTCATAATGGTAATGGGCAGTTTTAAAGTCCTCATAATAGTTATGGGCAGTTTTAATATCCTCATAATGGTAATGGGCAGTTTTAATATCCTCATAATGGTAATGGGCAGTTTTAAAGTCCTCATAATGGTAATGGGCAGTTTTAAAGACCTCATAATGGTAATGGGCAGTTTTAAAGCTTCATACTGGTGATGGACTGTTTTGAATTGAAATGGGGGCATATTTGATATTCTAAATGCAGGGCTGCTGAATGACAGTGATCAGAGTTTGAACTCGTGAAACTCAGGATATGCACACAGTTGACCTTTGATAAAATCTGCTCAAGTCACAACACTAAAATATCAACTATACATCATGCCCCTCAAGTAACCTGTCACTAAAATAAGGACATCAGCTGCCACATATATAGTGCATCAATGACCTTGAGTCTGCTAAGAGATATGTGCAGAGCTGTATGATATCTGTGGCCAATCAGAGCATCTTTTTTACAGAAGTCAAACCAATAGACAACCTAAACAAAAATGCAAACTGTGACTTTTTAGTTTACAAGACAATTAAAAGCTTCTAACAAGGCACTAAATGATTTTTAGTGTAGGATTTATTAGGCATGTTCAGCTTTGTTATTTATGTAGTCAATTTTATATGCTGTCAAGTCTATAATTCAAGTGATGAGCATAAGATGGCAATTGTCCGCATTAGCAATTTGCTGATGAAAATTCAGACAGCCAAATATACGTAGATAGTTCTGATCGATTTTTATTTTACACCTAGGGCTATATTTATTAGCATAACATGCTGTATACTAGCTGATTAAATACATGTATGTTTATCCACCTCAACAGAAAAAAAAACTATTAAAACAAAAGTTCTTGATTAAACCAAAATTTTCATTTTAACACACTATATAGCTTATGCAAGTTCAGTGAGGAAAGATATCAATTATACTAGAGATTTTGTTGCAAAATCAATTGAAAATAACTCTATTTCCGTGAATTCATAGAGTGTATGTACATAAATATAGATTGAAAACAAAATTAAAAAAACTACTTTATGAAAAAGTTTGGTAACTTATCTTAATTTGAACAATTATACTTAAGACTTCTTTAAAAGGTAAAACATTACATTATAGCAATATGTGAAGAAAAAAAAAGCAGTCTGAGTTGAAGATATATACATGATAAAACAACTGATTTGATTAATTGACTCATGCAAATTTTGGTTCCTGTAAATGATTAGGTAACAGGTTATTATGCATTTAATTTTTTTTTTTTGGAAGATAGAGTTAATCTTTATGTAAGACAGGTTTTTTAGTTTGTATGTAGTTGTGGATCCTAAGTTGGTTAGTTTTGCTTCATTATTTCTTTTGCTTTTTTGGTTGTTTTGTACATTTTCTTATTTGGTTAATGTGTGTTTTGGTTTATTTGTTTTACTGTTTATCTTGCTATAGATTTGGTTTTATTTTTTTACATTTCTATCTTTTGCATGCTGTAAATTGGGAACATTTAAAGTTAAATAATATGTTATTGTATAATTTTACATGATTTTATAAACAAATGATCAGCATGATGTCTTAAGCATAAGTATACAGTACATACACATGGGTTAAGCCAAAAGTGATACCAATGTGTCTGGAGCACTACTCTAAAGTAAACATTTGTTATCAGGGACAAAATATCTGGAAAAGGCATGATCCCTCAGAAGCAGTGAAACAAAATGAAAACAAAAATATATGATAGTAAAATGCCCCAAAACCTGTGTTTAAATTGCTTGGAATGTTTGAAACAATATGTTAAACAAGACATTGAATTCCATTAAGCTGTTTAGGTAGTATATGATCAGTCTTTATGATCAATAAAGAGACTGTCTGGTCTATCATGTAGTCTGACTATACTCCATACTTTTGACTGCTTTAGTACAGTTCTTTTTAGTTTAGTCCAAGTAAAATAAATTTCTGAATCAAAGGTATGGTAGTTGGAAAATTAGTGATCTAAGAAATTTTGCTTATTCTGAAAGTGTTTGTAGGATTTTTGTCTTACAGTTCACTTTTACATTTAAATGAGATACTATGTAAGAAGTATGATACATTTATGTGCATATTTTTAGTAGTTTTTTTTTCAATGTTGCCATACCATGTTATTGAAAATATCACATGCAATATTTTTGGCCAATATGAGAACTGCTGTCCTAAATTATTCCTTTATCAATTTTAATGTACAGGTAATATATCAGTAGTACAATTGTTTTATATATACGGAATATTATGTTGTAGTAGCTTTCTGAGGCTTTGTATTTTATACAAGTGTTTCATCAAATTTTGTCTTATAAAGGAAAAAAAAAAACACTGAAATTTTAGATGAATGTTTTAGTAATTAAAGAAATTTAATGTCCGCTAATTCAAGATTTTGCATATGCTGTATCATTTCTATCATTTATAATAAATGATGATATCTTTTTAATTAACAGAGGTAAAACTGAACAAAGATTTGGACCTACAGTTTATATCTGAAGTGAATGGTGTAAAGATTGGTCAGGTGGGTGGACTTGCTGTGAACCGTGATGGAGACCTCTACATATTCCATAGAGGATCAAATATTTGGTCTTCCCTGTAAGTGAACTTCTTTATATAACAATTTAGTTGATTATTGGCATGAGTTTGGAATGTGAAGTGAATGGTGTAAAGATTGGTCAGGTGGGTGGACTTGCTGTGAACGCTTTTCATTTTGGGACATTTTTTTACAATTTGAATAATTATACTGGAAAAATGAAGTGTGCGTATGATCTGAAATTAAGCACAAAGATTAGTGGTCTTAACCTGCACCAAATGGTACATTTATCTGGGAAAAATATTTTCAGTCCCATCATGTCAAAAAACCTCAGTGGAGTCCCTTTAACAGCATCTGACTTATTATATCAACTAGAAGGCAGAAAACTGTCCCTATAGCCTCTGCTTTGACTATGCATGTTAAATTTAATTGAAAATTTTATAAAATGTGTAGATAAATTCCATTCTCAGTTGTTGGATTTGATTTCCCCTTTTCTGATTTATGGCACTTTATTTTCCCCTTCAAAAGGCCACAGGTTGTTTTAATAAATTAGAAAACAAATCACTGTAGATGTACAATGAGTTTCATTGGTCCTTTATTTCTTATGATGAGATAAACTGATAATCCTTCATTAATCATGTTGTTGTCTTACAGGTCTTTTACACCTATGAACAGATATACACAACAAAATATGCCTGTTGATGTGGACCCTGTAGTTATACTTGATAAAGCTGGCTCTCTCATACGACATTTTGGTAAAAACAGGTACAGTCAGAGCCAGAACTTTCATTTGAAAACTATTGTAATACTAGTTCAAGTAAAACTTTGATGCAGTCTTAAAATAGTAAAGAATGTTCTATGAACCAGTCAATTGTAACTCCACCCCTTTCACTGAGGGAAAAGTTTGGACTGTGACTTTTGTAGTAATAAATTACTGTTAAAGACTGTGTTCAACAGGCACAGTCGGATGTTAAAATTGCTGCTAAAAGTTTGATGATGTTTCTCTATTTATTCTCTATACAAAGCCACTACCTTGACCTGGCAGTGCTGGGATATTGGACTGTAAACACTTGATCCATTTCCTTGGCTAATCTTTGCCGTGGTTATTTGGTATATAGAGTTTCTTGTAATACCAGGTTATTGTATGTGTCATACATATTATTTATTTGAAATGTTATAAATCAGGAAAAGTTGAATACATTATGAAATATAAAAACTAACATTTACTTATTTGTATATCAGATTTTATCTACCACATGGGTTGAGTCTAGATTCCGATGAGAATATATGGTTGACAGATGTTGCTATGCACCAGGTGTTTAGGATTCCCAAGGGTGATGATAAACCTGACATGACTTTAGGGATCCGATTTGAGCCTGGCACCAGTAACAAGCACTTTTGTAAACCATCTGATGTGGCAGTTATGTCAAATGGGGAATTCTTTGTCTCTGATGGGTAAATGATATATTTTATATTTAACTCTCTGAAGTCTATTGGTTATAATAATAGGCATATATCACTGGCTTTAAGAGTCAGGTCAGTACAACTGTTGTCAGATAAAACTATATTGTTGACTGCTTATTTTTAGCATTTTATTACTGAAAAAGAATAACATAACATAACATATATTTTATTAGTCTTAAGCACATTAACAGCTCATCGACATTTACATACAATATGACACGTATTTGTAGCATGCGTAATAATTATAATCATATTTACAGAAATAGAAAAACACATACATTATACACAAAACACAACGGCTACACACAATAATAAACAGCGAGAATTCATATATTTTTTACAAAAACAGAAAGTTTGGTTAATACGTCATCTATTATGACACTATTATGTTGAAAACTACACATTCACTGTTCAAACACTTATTGGTCTCTCTAAAAAATGATTGTCTGATTCTAAAAGCCTTAAGAATATATAATGCTAGCTTGATAAGTACATTTTGATTTGTTGAATTTAAAAGTTCAATGAACTTGTAAACACTTGCATGATTACAATAATAGTCACTTATATACTTCTTTCTGATGTCTCTATATAATTTACATGTTAAAACGAAGTGGAATTTGTCTTCAATGTCATTCATGTCACATAGCATACACTTTCGCTGATCTTTCGGCACTGCATTTTCAAAGTGTCTTGCCTTTTCTATCATTAAATCATGCGATCCCATACGTATCTTTGCAATTGCTTGTCTGTATTTCAAGTTATTCAATATTATGAGATATGAGGGAATTTCAAAAGTTTGTTTGATTTCCTTGTATAAATATAACGAAGGACACGTGTTAATATCTATATACCATTCTGCTATGTAAAAGTCTCTTAGTCTCTGTTTCAGAACAGGCGTAAATCTTTCTATACAAACAGATGCTGGGAAAACCCATATTTCACCAAAACCAATTGCATTTAATAAATCTCTCACTTTTAATAACCAATTGTCAATAGCATTTTCAGTCAAATTTAACAATCTATCAAGCAAAGTATTTAAAATACAATTACTTTTCCTACTGGTCAGTTTTATAAAATATTTAACTGCTTTTACTTTTCGATCGATTATCAAAGGAAACGGCCAGACTCACCATAAACCCGCACATTACTAGTAGACATTTTTACACCTAGTGTCCATTTAATAAATTTTCTATGCACCCGTTCTATGCACTCCGTACTTGACAGGCCCCATATTTCACCAAAATATGTCAGAATTGAGCTCACAAAAGAGTCAAATAAATTAAAGATGATGTTTGTTGGTACTTGCATATTTTTTACCAATGAGAATAACGACCCGACCGCTTTGAGTCCTTTTGCCGCTAGCGTCATTGTTGCTGTTCTAAAGGAACCACCGGATGTAAACACGAGACCTAAATAGTTGAAACTATTCACTATCACTATTTCTTCATTGCCGTAATGCCATCTTTCATTTGCAGCTATAATGCCTCCTTTTCTGAAGACCATAATTTTAGTTTTTTGGATATTTACAGTTAAGTTCCACTTTTCGCAGTAACTCTGTAAGCTATTTATTGATGATAGTAAACCTTCAACAGTGTCCGATAGAATAACGGCGTCGTCTGCAAATAGGATTAGATATAATGATAATTGATCAAGATTTATTCCCGCATTTAAGTTAGATTGTAGCTCCGTTGCAAGATCATTAATGTACAAGGAAAACAAAAATGGTGAACATATTTCTCCTTGAAATAGACCGATGTCATTCATGAAAAAGTCTGACAAATCATTAAACTGCCTTTACACAACATTTAATATGTGCGTATAGCGAACGTATAATTTGAAACAGTTTCCCGTCTACACCATTTTTAATGAGTTTCAGGTATAGTGATGAACGGTCAATAAAATCGTATGCTTTCTTCAAATCTAGAAACAGGCAATATAGTCTCATTTTGTTCCTTAGGTGATGTTGGATGACTTCATTTAAAACAAATGTGGTACTAAAGTTTGACCTAAAACCGAACTGTGAATCTGAGATTATTTCATTTTCGTCGGACCATAGTTTAAGCCTATTATTTATAATAGACATGAACAATTTTGCGAAACAGCTTACAAGGGTAATCCCTCTATAATTATTCGGATCATTTGTCTGACCTTTCTTAAAAATTGGCACAATAATACCTTTCGCCCATTGTTCAGGAATAGTACCCGTTTGTAATATTTTGTTGAATAATTTTTCCACATGCGGTAATATTATGTCGAGGGTTTCTACAAAATATTCAGACAATAAATTGTCAATTCCGGGCGCTTTATTTCGGTTAACTCGTTTAGCCGAAGCTAGTATTTCTTCTTTAGTTATAGGATAGTCTAACTGTTCAAATGTGACAGTATTTGTTCCTAATAACGTGTTTTCGTCAAAACTACTGATGAAATCTTGAGTTTCTGTATTTTCAAATCCATTTGATGTTAAAAGAATGCCTTGCTTTCCGTAAACAGTACTTATAGTCTTTTTTCCGTTGCAATAATATCGTTCTATTTTCCGTGGATCTATCACATATAAATTGATGTAATGCATTTTGATACAATGTTTTCTTTTCACGGCATTCATTGTTAGCTCGACTATTCGAAGAATATGAGAGCTATTGTAGTCGCCCAGGCGTCGGCGTCAGCGCCGGCGTCTGTGTTGGTTAAAGTTTTTTGTAAATTCAAATATCTCAATTATTGCTTGAGATATTCAATTGAAACTTACAATACTTATTTATAGTAACAATATACATCAGATTGACAAGTTGGATAACTCTGTCTACAATATTGACTGAATTATGCCCCTTTTTAACTTAGAAATTTTGGTTAAAGTTTTTTGTAAAGTCAAATATCTCAATTATTGCTTGAGATATTCTATTGAAACTTACAATACTTATTTATAGTAACAATATACATCAGATTGACAAGTTGGATAACTCTGCCTACAATATTGACAGAATTATGCCCCTTTTTAACTTAGAAATTTTGGTTAAAGTTTTTTGTAAATTCAAATATCTCAATTATTGCTTGACATATTCAATTGAAACTTACAATACTTATTTATAGTAACAATATACATCAGATTGACAAGTTGGATAACTCTGCCTACAATATTGACAGAATTATGCCCCTTTTTAACTTAGAAATGTTGGTTTAATTTTTTTGTACATTCAAATATCTCAATTATTGCTTGAGATATTCAATTGAAACTTACAATACTTATTTATAGTAACAATGTACATCAGATTGACAAGTTTGATAACTCTGCCTACAATATTGACAGAATAATGCCCCTTTTTAACTTAGAAATTTTGGTTAAAGTTTTTGTAAATTCAAATATCTCAATTATTGCTTGAGATATTCAATTGAAACTTACAATACTTACTTTAGAGTAACAATGTACATCAGATTGACAAGTTGGATAACTCTGCCTATAATATTTACAGAATTATGCCCCTTTATAACTTAGAAATTGTGGTTAAAGTTTTTTTTGTAAAGTCAAATATCTCAATTATTGCTTGAGATATTCAATTGAAATTTACAATACCTTTTTATAGTAACAATGTACATCAGTTTGCAAAATTGCATAACTCTGCCTGCAATATTTCAGAACTATTTGCCCCTTTGAAACTTAGAAATTTTGGTTAAAGGTCTTCAAAGATAATTACTTGAAACTTTACACATGTACTTAGGGTCATAATTGGAGAGTCATAATTGTATGTCACTGACCAAGTTCCATAACTCTTACTCGCATTTAGGCTGATTCATCTCCCCTTTTCTACTTAGTCTCTTGGTTTATGTTTACATGCAAGTATTACATATCTCAATAACTATTAAAGATATTTATTTAAAACTTCACCTTTGCATTTAGAATCATAATTGTAGGTCACTGACCAAGATCCATAATTCTATCTTGCATTTAGGCTGATTTTTCTCCCCTTTTTCAACTTAGAAATTTATAGTAAAGTTTTGCTTGTAAGCTGTTATCTCCATAACTACTGAAGAGTTTGTGCCTTTTTGGGGGCATTTTTATGAATTCATAAAAATAAAGCAGTGATTTACTTGATAAAACATCTTAATAACAAGCCTTTGTACCTTTTCGGTCAATTTTATGTATTCATAGGTAACTAGCATTATTACACTCAATAAAACACCCTTGTGACAACATTTTGAATAGTCGAGCCAATACTGTCCTCCGACAGTTCTTGTTATACCACAATTTACTCTTATTATGTCCAGTTTCAGTAAATATACAGCTCTCGGATATATATACTTTCTTTTGAAAAAACTTTTCGGCTTTCGACAAAATAAAGTCACTGAATTGGTCCACCGTGTCATTCACTGACACATTATTATTCTCCATTTGCAGTATAATACCGTTTAAAATTTCTATATTTTGCGTCATACTATCTCGAAATTCCTGCCGGTATTCATTATTCCATTTCGAGCAGGTAAAAGATCGCACTTTCGGTTCATATTTGTAATTATTTACTTCAATTGAAAACGATACTGTAGCGTGATTGGAAAATTCGTTATATTCGCTCACTTTAAAATGTTTCAGGTATTCAAAGTTTGAGAATCTAGTTAACACAAGGTCAATTTCGCTTTCGCCATTTGCTGTTATACACGTGAATTTCCCTGGGTCATTGTTAATTCTTCCGTTACAAATACACATGTTTACCGTTTTACAAAGATCTAAGAGGTTATCTCCAAAACGATTTGATCGTTGGTCAAAAGATCGGCGTGGAGGCGGAGAGTCATTCAAGTCGTCCGTTAAATCCTGTGTTAGCACGCTTTCAAGCTCAATATAATCCTTCTTTTGTCCCACTCTACTGTTAAGGTCACCAAATAAAATAGTTCAGCCTAATTCTGAGTATTCTAATACTTCGTTCTGTATTTTTTGAAAAACGTCAACATTATATAAATTGTGTATTACAGATGATTCCGGCGCAATATATATATATATATATACGCTAGGTACCAATCTTTGTCTGTATTGAAAAAAAGTTTTATCGAGCTTAAGCCAGATAATTTAATCGACATCATTTTTTATTAGTTTCACTCCTTTTCGGATATTATTTTTAATGTAAATGATAAGCCCGCCACTTGATTGTTTGGCTCTTCTGTTTTGAAATCTACGGTATGAATGAATAGGAGCATTATATCCTTTTAAGTCAATTTTTGAAGTTTTTGTAGTCCAGGTTTCGCTTAGACACACAATGTCATACCCCTCGATAGTGTTTAAAAAATCTTTGTTTTCCTTTTTTAAGTTTGTCAGACCTTCGACGTTCCAACATAAAACATCAATACTGGAAAAGAATGTTCCAAATAGTGAAAGAAAATTCCTTATATAAATTAAACAAAGTACATGTAATAGGAATTTAGTATAATTATGTTTTTTAATGTCATTATTAGCAAATAACTTTTCTTGCTAGTTTAAAACCCTATCTTAAATGATGTTGCCAAGGGTATTAAAAGTTATCAATATGTATGTTGATTGTAGCTATTGAATCTCATTACAAAATTGTAGACAAAAGATTAAATTAGTGATAAAAATAAGTTTATGTAATAAAATTTTCCTGAAGTTTTATGAGGACCATGAATGTGATGTTTATGATATAATATTTTCATAATATACAAGTGACTGTCATTTATCCATCAATTTTTGTTATAATTTATTCATGCTTCATTGATTGAAACTTCTGAACAATTATATTTTGTATTGTTCATTGAACGAGCTGGCTGTTTTCACCTGAAAGCCTTGCTTTTTGAAATTATTATTATTAAAGTTATTTGCAAGCATCAGTTTTGACCTGTGAAGTATTTATGATGATATTTCTTCATTCATTGTGATTCTCTGATTACTATATTTTTGTTATACAGTTACTGTAATAGTAGAATAATGAAGTTTGACAAGAATGGTTACTTCCTGAAACAGTGGGGATCTCAGAGTTCATCATGGGGATGTAAGATTGTTTTATATTATACTTTATCTTACCTTTATATACATAATACATACATTTTATAATGACTTCTTGCTGTCAAACAAAAATGTTGAAGTTATATGGCAATGAACACATTATGCATTATTTCAGACATGAAAGTGTATTTGAATTGATCTGATTAACTTCCCTTATGACATCTGGAATAAGTTTTTGACATGACAAAATTCAACATTCCTGTTGGGATTTAAACCCAAGTTAATTACTGTACTATATACACCTCCAAAGTGGTTGTTCATAACATTTGACAGTAGTTGCAAATTTCAGTCATGAGAGTACAGTTAAACTTCGTTCGCTCAAACTCGGATCGCTCGAATACCTCCCTTCGCTCGAACTCATCGCCAAGTCCCGGCAAAATTCCTATATAATATATATTGTTCTACCTTGGATCGCTCGAACACCATTTGCTCGAACTCTCGAACCTGATCTCTGGTCCCTTCGGCAGAAATATAGTGAAAATTACACCTTTTCGGTCGAACACAAAAAGACAAGTCGGCAATTGTCCTAAATAAATGACAGTCGGCGACACATGTTTTTAACACCTCGTGATTGTGACTAAGGTAATTAAGGCTTATTGATACAAAATAAAGGGTGTTGTAACCGATTTGTTTGATAATATTGTTGATTTGCAGTTTATGGTAACGATAAAAGGAAAATAACTTGTGAAATAAATGAAATATGCAAAAGTCAATAAAGAATGACGTTTACCCGGACGGCTTTAATTACAATTACTGTGGTTCATGTAACGTGAACTGAAACAGTGTTACCTATTTATAGAATGATACTTGCACATGTGTTTATTTTTGTAAATGACTACAAATAGATGCTGCTGTAAAATGTTGTTTTTTTTTTAAATAAATCATTTTTTATTTTTTAAAATTAATTTATCCCATAATAAAAATTGAACATTGTTCAACAAGTTTGGTCTGATTGCCTAATCGAACTCAACCTGAATTACAATTTGCATAATATAGATAAACACAGCGTACCGTTTATACTTAATTGAAAACACTGGGGTAATAATTCTGAATATGACATATTCGACGAACAGATGTACGAACAAACAATTATATTGACATATTTATCATTCGACCGATGTAAGCTAGAAAACCTTTAGGCATATGATCAACTTAATAATAGTTCAACCTCGGTTGGCTCGAACTACCAATCTCTCGAACAAATTTGCACAGGCCCTCCGAGTTTGAGCGAACGAAGTTCGACTGTATTTGGTACTGATAGTCAACCTCTTTATATAACAATTTTGTGTACAGCAAACTGCCAGTTCTACTCCTCAGTTTTAATAATTTACATGTAGCAGTGGAGAGAACAAATGTATACTTGTATAGAATCAAGGATTTCTTTTTTTGTAACTGCTTAAATTGTCAGACTCTTTCTTATTGTAAAAATTTAAAAAGGTAACAAAATAGTCTGATGGTTAAGTTGTCTTATTGTGATTTAGCTGATGGTTTCCCTCCACCGGGAACATTTAATCTACCTCATGGACTAGCACTAGCAGAAGATAAAGATCTCCTATGTGTGGCAGATAGGGAGAATGGTCGTATACAGTGTTTCAATCTAGACGGTAACTTTGTACGACAGATGCACCCAAAAAAGTTTGGACAATCACTTTATTCCCTGGAGTACTGTCCAAATCATGGTATATATTACTTCATAAGATTTGTTTAACACTGTACACTTCAGTACATAAACAACCAAACCCATATTGTACGCTTTTATAGATGATTTGCACTCACTAGATTTAAGATAAATAGCTTGAGAGAGATATTTTTTATTGTACCATAACATGTGTTTAAAATTAAAGTACATAACACACATTGAATGTGTTACGGTACATCATTTATTTTGTCTATTTATTCAGTTGGATTACAATGGAAAAATTGTCAAATATGAATATTATTTATGAAATTAACTACACCAAACCACATAACCCTAGTAAACAAAAAATAGAATTAAATTATATTAATGCATGCTTAATGTATTATTTTTTTTAAATAATGTCAAATATTAATAAAAAGTTTCCTCAGTAATCAACTTGTATTTTACTTGTATGTTACTACCTTATCTGTATTAAAGTTTGTTTTGTGCTAGGTGGAGTATTATTTGCTGTAAATGGTCCCATATTTGGTACCAAGTCAGAGGTTACACAGGGGTTCACACTTGATATAGACACTGGGACACTTGTGTCAACGTGGAATTTACCTGGAGAGGTTAGTTCCCTGATTTCTTATCTTATAAAGTATTTCTTTTTTATGTTTTCCCCAGAAAAATTTATTATAACGCTCAATTGTTGAGCTATCTACTGGTCCCCATTTTTTCCTACTTTTTCTTTCATTTTTTATCTGAGGCCTACTTTGCCCTTCTTTTCACTAAAACAGGCCTGTTATCCCTACTTTCTAAAAATACAGTGAATGATAATAAAGTATACTTCAATTGTTTCACCTCCTTGTGATTTATAATTCAAGTTCTATAGTAATTTGTGTCATCTTGTAACCCCCATTCTTTAAAGCAACATTGTTTCTTGTCAAGTCAGTTAAATTTATAATGGCCATCAATGGCTTGTTTTTCAAGCGCTTACAGAAATTAGGGTACAAACAACCTAATGTTGTACTTTCAAATTAAAATGTTAAGATATTCCTTCTTCTATAGCCCTCAAAAATCCGTGATTTGGCCTACTTTTATTAATTTAAAATTATCCTGTTTTTCCTTGTTTTGTGCTGGAGAGACAGTAGAAAGACAGTTTTTGTGTGGTTTGATTAAACTCAATAGTGTTACTTAGATAAGGTGCTACTTAGATAAGGTTGGCATGTGGAATTCAAAGGACAACTCCATCAGACAAAATGGTGGTTAAATGGTTGAATAAGTTATTCTTCTTTGATAAGAATTCTTCACAGAGACACTAGAAAGTTCATAAAACTTGATGTTTTTGTGTTGGTTTTTCTTTTTTCTTCTCATCATGTGATATTATATATCTATTTTCAGGGTATGACTCACCCACATGATGTGGCAGTAGATAGCACAAATCATATGGTATATGTAGGTGAACTGAATCCAAAAAAAGTCTGGAAATTCCAGATGTCAAAGAAATTGTACGAAGGTATGTAAGAACACCATGGAAATGATAGAGTCATATTCCTAACTAAGTCAAAACAAAATTTTTGTTTTAGTTATTCTTTTGGAAACATGATTAATAATGTTATGACAGTCGGAGCTAGACATTACTATTTTTTGTTTAAATAAGAAAACATTGTTGTTTTTTATGTATTTATTGTGATGCTGGTATATAAGAGGTAATGTTACAATCATAGTCTGTCTTGTATCAGGAAAATGACTTTTACTTGTTACAAACTAAGTTTATAAGAGGTTTATAGTTTACAGGAAAGTTAGGGTCCATATTCATAAAAATATGTAATGTAAAGTTATATGTAAATAAAAGTAAATGCTGGATACATGTGTACTGTATGTGTATTTGAATTCACAGAAGCAAATTTATGTGGAAAGATCCATTTTGGGGGTCTATAAAAATTTGAAGCTCCCGAATATGTCTACATTTTTTCTACACATATAGGATTAATGATTTTTTCATAAGGCACACATAGATTGTAAATTTTATCTTTGCAAGAACTTTATTCTGCAACAGGTAATAAGTAAAGTTGTATAATGAATGTCAATGTAGAAACAAATTGTGGTAAAAGAAATATTAAGTATTACAGTGTAAACTCCACAAGGCCTCTTTACAACAGCCATTTCAATACTACCCAAAGTAAGACTTTGCAACGAATTTAACCTTTTTAGGGCAAGACCTCCAGGCAATAAATGTTATCCTTGTCTCCTAAACGGTTCTCTCTGCAGAGGTTTAACTGTACATGTATTCTTAAAATTGGTAGACGTATTGTTGGTTAATATAAAACTTTGACCACATAAAGAATAACTCTGTCTTTTTGAAACAAACTTATTTTATCCTTGCTTTCCAGTTGTGGTTTATTGCTAGCTTGGGTAAATGTTGGCTTTTAAAGACTTAAGAATATTTTTCATTTGGAAATATACATCTATTTTTTTGTTCAATTCTGAATTAAAATTACTCTATTTTGTCAGAAATTGAAAATTTATCATGGAAATGTTTCAAGTGCAAATTTTACACGGAAACGATGATATTTGAAAAAATTTGCCTTGATAATCTCTGATAAATCTAAATTACCTTAAGAAAGAAATAATCTAAGAAATTGAACATCAATGGCTGTTAGAATATTGCCAAAATGTTAAATTACAATTTCATCTTTAAATATGATTGATGATGAAATAGACATTCTTATACACATGATATAACATAATAAAGTGTATCAGGCTATCATGTATAAATGATGGAGAATATGGAAATACCTCTGAAACTTGATTAATGAAGTGTAATGAAGGATTATAAATAAATTTGCAGCAGACAAGCCGGTAGAAGTCACAAAGCCATCAGAAGGGCAGGGTAAATCTCCTGCAATAACAGGGACCAGTAAGCACGTTTCCATGGAAACAAGTACGCTTGGTGTTGTCACAATTGCTAGCACTCCCTCATATAGTACTTCTGGTGTTGTAGACAGTAATTCACACTCTGATGTATCAAATAGTAATATTGGTGTTGCTAATAGTAATACTGGTGTTGCTAATAGTAATATTGGTGTTGCTAATAGTAATATTGGTGCAGCAAACTCTTATCATAGCACATCAAAACCCAAAAATATCATGACAAGCAGCCAAAATGTTGTAGACAGCGAACAGATTGATGAGCATCCAGTTAACACAGATCTCTTCAGTGGTGATGTCATCAATGTTGAGGAGCCTATGCCAGCTTTACATATAAGTATGGCATCTTGTTTTAAGGTTATATTGAACCTGTGTATTTAAGAGCAGCTGCTAGATTAGCCAAGGTTAAGTAATACACCACTAACCAACATTAATCCGCTTCCTTGCTTAGCTTAATGGGTATTGCAGTAGATCCTTTCTACCAAACTAATAATTCAGAACAGGTACAACCAAAATTTTCTCCCTTTTTCACCATTTCCAGGTATTCTCCCCCTTATAGCTGTGGGTTTGAATCTTGCCAGGAACTTGGTCATATAACCTTTACATTATTAGTTTGTTTTAAAATCTAAACAAATTTGTTCTTTCCAAAAAGAAAAAAAATGATAAAAAAAACTTATTTGCTTTATGGTGTTAACAGGTTAAAACTAGTTTAGAATACTTTAACAGCTCTATAGGATACAGTTCTCAGATACTAAGTTTATCAAGCACTTAATACAATGTATTGTTAAAATGAATATTTATGTTTAGGCTTGTCCTCCATTCATATTCTAGAACTTCACATTTTAGGACATATTTGTGTTGAAAATTGTTTTAACATTGTTGTTGTCTTGTAGAAGTTATGCTAGTTTAGCATTTAGTTTTAATGCATTGCTTTATTTGTACAGTTTGTTGTTGTAGCCCTTGCATGGCTTATTAGTACTTTTTGCAGTCATAGGTATTTGTTTTGATTGCTTTTTTTGCACTATTCAAGCAGTCGTTTTACGCTAAAACTTAAGGGTATAAAGCTATATTGGACTGTCTTTATAGACCCATACAATATTTGTTTGTGTTTTTAAAAATCATATCAAAGTAGACATAAATTGAAAAAAAAAATATACCTAAATTGAAAGACTGGTATTAGTAAATTTCTTGTAAAGCAGGTGGCACATGGTAAAAATCATCCTGAAACCAACTTAAAAATAGTAGATGAATGATTTATTCGGGAATGTTTTATTCTTTCATGCTATATAGGTTATGGACTGTAAATAATAGACACTTTTTTGCTAAAATTCTCTATAGATGTAACCATAAGAATATGAAAATGACTGATTTTGCAGGTTTTAACTTTTTTCAAGTATATTTTGCCATTTATTGTTTTAAACCCTTTAAGTTTAGAGAATGATGTACTGCTTTAGTTGATAACAAAAGTGTACCTGTATATCTGTAATTAACAACAAGAGATAAGTGAATTTATTACAATCTGCTTTATATTTAATTGCCCATCCAAGTGCAAGTGAGTGCATAGGTAAAAGTCGAAATAACTTTACATTTTGCCTTTATTTATTTATCTATTTATTTTCAAGTTCATAAAAAATAATCCATGTGACCTGCAGAAACTTCTATAAATATTTGGAATTTTGTCAGTAATGTTAAAGTCATAAAAAAATAGTGGGGTAGTCTTGTAATATTTGAGTCAGTTTTTAAATTTTATCTAAACATTTGTCATTATCAATTATTTGTACCATTATTGAAATATAATAGCTGATTCTGCTAAACTTGACAGTGCAGATATGAGCATAATGTCACTTTGTGTATTGCACTTGTACAGATTTATTTGTGTATTGCACTTGTAAAACATTATTTCTAGGCTTTATTGGACTGCCTTGATTATTGAATTGTTTAAAAGAGTTCTATTTCAAATTTAAAAAAAATACTGGTACATTTTTAACTCCTCACAGATGGTAAGGATGTTCTGACATTTAGCTTACTGAAATCAGATAAAATACTCTCAAAGTATGTTTGAAAGATCTAAATTATTACCAGAAACAAGACAATTTACCCATTTTTAATGGAAGATTCACTGTTAATAAAAAAAGTAACACAAAGAGTTTGTTATAACATAATGTTATACATTCATGTTTGTCATTTAAAGTATTCTAGGCACCACATTCAAATTAATCATTTTTTAAAACACGGAAAATGCAATTTCATCTTCTTTTTTTTATTAAAAAGAAATCTGTTGAGAAGTGCAATTTGTTTCTAGTGTGAAAAAACATATTTGATTATTGTTTGCAACATTTTGTCTCTGACCACTTAATATAATCCTATCACTGTTAACTTAACCTGTTTTGAACTTTGAACTGTCTTATGTTATTTTGAGGTGTTTTAGTATCAGAAATCTGTAAACAGAGGTGCATGTAGGTCAAGGAACCTTACTTATCTGACACCAGAATAATCCAAATATGAAACTTTAGAAGGCTCATAATGTCCAATTTTAGAATATTAAAGGCTTCAAGTTTGATTGAGACATGACTGTCAGTGGTTAATACATTCTATCATATATAACTATAAACAGACTAGAGAAAAATTTACATACATGTATAAACATGGTGTAATTAGTAACATTTGTAGATGTTCTCATAACAGTGATCATAGAGCTTCATTCAATGCAGTTCAATAAAAAAATGGCTTATGGTTACCAAGATAAATATACTGAACCAAAAAAGACACTTTCGCAAAGTATGTGCCAGTTGTTCAAGGGTACCACTTAGATGTACACACTTATATACATGTAGTAGCTTGTAAAACTCGTTTTGTTTGCAAAATCGGTCAGCTAATCCCCGTATAAAAGCCCGGTATGTTTATTCAACGTAAAAATCGAGTTTCAAAAGGATTGAAAAACTGTACTAACATATCTACATTCAAACTTGGAGAAAGTTTCTTTTTTGTTTCAGTATATTTTGTATGACCTTGATTATAAGATACTGGTTTAAACTAAATGAGCTGTAATTTTGTGAGGAAACTGGAGAAAGTTCTGGAAGTAGTATCTGGAGAATGATTTGAACATGCTGTAAATTTTTATATGCTCGAAAGAATTTAGGGCATATTATGTTATACCCCCTGGAGTCCGTCCTCCCGTCCGTTAGCAATTTGGTTTCTGGAGCATAAAAGTTCCATTTGGCCCACAATATTCAAACTTCATAGGATAATTGTCCATATTGGGTAGAAGACCCCTATTGATTTTGGGGTCACAATGTCAAAGGTCAAGGTCACTATTACCTTAAAACTGAAAACAGTTTCCGGAGCATAACTTAAGTTCCATTTGGACCACAATATTCAAACTTCATAGGATGATTGTCCATATTGGGTAGAAGACCCCTACTGATTTTGGGGTCACAAGGTCAAAGGTCAAGGTCACTATAACCTTTAAACTGAAAACAGTTTTCGGAACATAACATCAGTTTCATTTGGCCCACAGTGTTCAAACTTCATAGTATGATTGTCCATATTGGGTAGAAGACCCCTAAAGATTTTGGGGTAACAATGTCAAAGGTCAAGGTCACTATTACCTTAAAACTGAAAACAGTTTCCGGGGCATAACTTAAGTTCCATTTGGACCACAATATTCAAACTTCATAGGAGAATTGTTATTTAAAGGAGGTAATACTTTTTTTAATTCCCATGTCTTACAAATGCTTCATCTTTAAAAAATCACTTTCGGGCATATAATGCTCCGCCTAGCAGTGCTCTTGTTTCTTTATTGTCAAGCAGAAATTTAACAATATTAGATGGTTAAATCCTGCTCCTGTATTATTAGGTATTATGACATGCCATTTTGTTTAAAAATCAAAATCTTTAAAGCTGCATTTCATCAGATAAGCCAAAATATTTCAAAGTAATGAAAATGGAGAAAAATACACTATGATTTTAAGAAAAGTAACAATATTCAAGATTTTTTTAATATTTTACATGTTATGTGTGATTAATGACTGATTTTACAGTGTTAATCATCATATTTCTGCTCGGTTTCTTACCCAGAAAAGAGTATTTTTGTATAATTTGATGTCGTTTTGGTTAATTACATGGGTTGTTAGCGCCATTTGCAATGTGTAAATTAATTTCTTTGTTTTCAATTCACAATATTTTACTTACAAACACATTTTTAAATTTTTTATAAAAATTAGCATGTATCTGGAGGCATGCTGCTTTAATTGTGAGATGTTTGTTACACTAGAACAAAATGAGATTTTTGTCATTTAAGGTATAGAATTATAAATCTGGGGGTATATCCGAAATTTTTAAATTTCCCATTACCAAGACAAAAGCCAGCTAAGTAGATTCAGTGAAATATCATGTTACAAGAAAGTGAAATCAGACAGTTATACATTTTAAATTTGTTTTACACGCTAACAAGTAACTGCAAGATGAGATTAATTTCTCATCAAATTGATTAAAGTTCCAAACTGTTACAATGTCTAGTGAATTTCACACCTTGTTAAACTAGAGTCAATTTATTTTATTGAATCCAATGTATCGTTTTCTTGTAAAAGGCAATTTGAAAAATGTATTTGAAGGCATGCATGCCCTATAGATTTATAAATCTCTGTTAATACAATGTTTTGCTCTGATATTGTATTTCCCTGACTACCAAATATCTTAAATGGACTAGTCCATTGTTTCAATCAGGACAAAACCATTAATTATTTTCAGTGGGAATAATTTCACCTTATATACTGACTGAATGTGAAGAGTGCAGACTAAGATCTTGATCTACACTGGAGACATGGGGGGAAGTTAGGCTTAAGTTTAATTAAATAACAATGGATTAGTAAGACATAGAAATTTGGCATGATAATTCATATAAACATTAATTATAGAATGTTTTGTACATGTAATTGGCATGTACTATGGTATTGATTTCTTATAAACATGAACTTATTAAAAAAGTTGTTTTCACCTTAAAAGAAAACACATAGAATAGAAATGCATGTGAATAAAGATTTTCATGAAGTTTTTAATGATTGAGAAATCTGTAGTAATTTTGAAAAATGTTCTATTTATAATTTCTCCACTTTTAGAAAAGTTTGTTCAGTACTGGTTGGGGACCACCAAAACCGGACAACCACCAAACCCGGACGGCCCATAAAATGCTTAATTTAGTATTTTCTTTGTAAAGTGGTTGTCAGTCACTTTTTTATCAACAATAAATGCATGTTTCTTCTATAATTAAGTAAATAATTTTATTTCAACCCTTTAAATGGTAACATTTCAATGTCTATTTCAAAAATGTTGACGTTGAAATTTGGGGGTCAAGAAAGCAATGCATGACCTCATATACCAGCTATAATCATTTGCGAGTAAACAATAGAATATCCAAAACTTTAGCATTTGCTGCTGAAATATTGTTTATCATGTTGAAAATCACAAATCAAAACACCCAAACTTTTATCTGAATTAAATCATGTCATGTACATATCTGTCCGGACAGGTATCCGGACAATTCCCCTCCCGGACGATTCCCCTCCCAGTAAATTTGAATGTTTTTTCACAACCCGGACATTTCCCCTCCCGTTATTTTTTTACGGTGGACAAATCCCCTCCCGTTCTTTTAACAACCCGTACAATTCCCCTCCCGCTGTTGTCAGAGCGGACAATTTCCCTCCCGTGGCTGTTGAATATATATATTATATAATATTGTTTATTTGAAAGGTATATACATTTTTGCAGCGGCAAAACAATAAAAGAACAATTGATAAGAACAAAAAAGCAATTAAGCTGTAGATTCTTGCAAAGAATATATTATGCACATGTTATAGTAAATTGAACTGTCATCATCGTCATTATGATTAGAAAATCATATTCACCATATTGAATCAGTACATGAAGTCCTAACACAAAATATCAGTGATCATTTTGATTTTATATATGATTGAACACATTTGTAGGAATATTCTCCTTCATTATACCCCCACAAACGAAGTTTAGGGGGGGTATATAGGAGTCAGCTTGTCGGTCGGTCGGTCGGTCGGTCGGTCCGTCGGTCGGTCCACATCATGGTTTCCGGACGATAACTAGAGTTTGGAATGAGGTATTGTAATCAAACTTGGTATATAGCAACCTTATGTGGAAACTACGGTTGGTATTGCATTTGGAACCCCTGGGGTCAAGGTCAAGGTCACCGTTACTAAAAATAGAAAAATGGTTTCCGGACAATAACTAGAGTTAGGAATGAGATATTGTTATCAAACTTGGTGTATAGCTAGCTTATATGAAGACCTGGGTTGGTATTGCATTTGGGCCCCCTGGGGTCAAGGTCAAGGTCACCATTACTAAAAATATAAAAATGATTTCCGGACAATAACTTGACTTAGGAATGAGGTACTGTAATCAAACTTGGTGTATAGCAAGCTTATATGAAGACCTGGGTTGGTATTGCATTTGGACCCTCTAGGGTCAAGGTCAAGGTCACTGTTACTAAAAATAGAAAAATGGTTTCCAGACAATAACTAGAGTTAGAAATGAGATATTGTTATCAAACTTGGTTTATATCAAGCTTACATGAAAACCTGGGTTGGTATTGCATTTGGGCCCCTGGGGTCAAGGTCACTGTAAGGAAAAATAGAAAAATGGTTTTCGGACAATAACTAGAGTTAGGAATGAGATATTGTAATCTAATTTGGTGTAAAGGAAGCTTATATGATGACCTGGGTTGGTATTGCATTTGGACCCCCTAGGGTCAAGGTCACCGTTAACAGAGTTACTAAAAATAGAAAAATGGTTTCCGGACAATAACTAGAGTTAGGAATGAAATATTGTTATCAAACTTGGTGTATAGCAAGCTTATTTTGAGACCCCAGTTGCGATTACAATTAATTGAAATATTTCTTTGTACACAGTTGATAGTATGTGTTCAAATTTTTCTTCAGACTACGTTTTTTTCAAAAAGTCAAAGTTGCTGGTGGGGGTATTAATCACCTTCAGTGATAGGTCTAGTTTTTAATTGGTTTTGCAATCAAGGACACATTTAATTAAGGGCGTCAATGATTAAAGATTTTTTATTGACAGTTTGTTTATCTTAAGCAGCGGCGGCAATGATTTAAGGCAGTATAATGTCAATTTCGTGAAATAATGATTGTTAAAAGTTCCGATCTTTAACAGTTTATTGTTAAGAGTAAAAACTGTCATCTTTAATAAGAATGGTTATAGATTTTTTTTATACGCAATGTGAAAAGACGGGAGGGGAATTGTCCGCTCTGCTAAAACAACGGAAGGGGATTTGTCTACCCTGTAAAATTAACGGGAGGGGAAAAGTCCGCCCTATTAAAATAACGGGAGGGGAAATGTCCGGGTAGTGAAAATAATATGGAAGGGGAATCATCCGGGAGGGGGATTGTCCGGGATTCGTCCGGACACATGGTACTGTAGTGTAGACAATTTAGGTAATTTTGATACCCTCCCTGTAAGCCTCAGATATAATTGTCATAAACAAACTAGTTTGTTAGTTAGGAGAAGAACCTTGCTGAACTGTGTCAAATTTTTAGGTCTCTATGTTAAAAATTATAAAATCTGTACGGAAAAATGTTCAAAAAGTGTCCGGTTGATGGTCCCCGACCAGTACAGCTAAATGGGAGACGCTCAAAATCCCCTTGATCATAATCCCCTTGGTTGATAAACGACATAGTGATCGAAATCCCCTCAACAGAAATGACAGGGTTATCATAATCCCCTTGGCAAAAATAAAGGGGTGGTCATAATCCCCTCAGTGGGTAGTCAAAATCCCCTCAAATAATGTGAAATGGTTGGGAAATTTCTTTTCTTATTTTTCTTTTTAGTTCAATGAATTTAAGAACCAACTGCTTCAAGAATTGCTGAAAAAAAAGAGAAATGCATACAAACAATTAAAAGGTGTATGTTTGTCACAGGCCACTAAAGCTCACCAGCAGAGACTGAAAGTTTTGTGCTCACAGTACGCAAGTGGCATTAAATCCCTTGAAGACTTCTTGGGTGCTCTGGGACAGATTATCAGAATAAAATAATGTCGGTGCTATGTAAATTCTGTGAATGTGCTAACATATGTAAAATGTGCTGTCAGAAAATAAATAAGAGTGAAATATTATGTCTGGTTTTATATTTTATATTAACATGAAAATGACAACATTGGAGTATTTAAAAATAACCTGTATTATATTGCTAAAGTATACTCCATACTCTTTCCTCTACTCAATGTAACTGCTGTTTGCAACATTTCTTTATGTAACACAATAGTTTAGCTGGAGTGACAAAAGATCAAAGGAAAAAGAATATTGAGTAAAGGGGGTTGTTTTTCACAAGTTGAGGGGATTTTGACCACCCCATCATTTTTGCCAAGGGGATTTTGACTATCCTTCAAGGGGATTATGAACACCCGGCCATTTCTGTTGAGGGGATTTCGATCACTATGTCATTTTTCAACCAAGGGGATTATGATCAAGGGGATTTTGATATATAGTGTTTTTTGATATATACTTATCAAATAAAATTAGTACCATCTATTGCAATGTTTCACAATTTTAATTTCTAAATTTTCAATAAAAGTTTATGTGATTTGAATTTTGTTTTCAGAAAAAGTGTAAACTATATAAGAAATATGACAATTGTTTTATGTTTTATATTAACAGAGAATGAGGATGATAGAGAAGGGTTTGGACCATCTGTTATTATAGGTACATTATTGGTGGTCCCTGTTATACTGCTGGTTGTTATTACAGTTCTTATAAGACTGCATCATACAGGTTGGTTATACCAGTCACTTACTTTATTATATTGTTAGCTTTGATTAACAGTGAGACTAATAGTAACATTTATATGTAGTGTGATAGTATTATATGACTAAATACTATAGCTTCACCATTGCTTTGTTTGACAGCAAGTTGGTCATACAAGAACTTTCTATTGGCTTCTGGTACAAACTGCAATTTCTTGCATATCAGACTGGTGTTTCCATTAGTTTTACCCATGCGGAAATTTCATCTGGCATGGGGGGTGCCAGATGAGTCATATGCTATTAAATGGTATGCTTAGGATAACATAATTTTGCTGTTATGAATGAAGTTGTAATTTCATAATATGCTGTTGTAATAACATATGAGTGTAATAGCATAAATTTCCATGGAAAATTGTTTTATTAAGGTAAAGAATTTAAAATGTGATGGAACATGGTAGAATATGCAAGAAAAAAATCTGACATATGTTTGCGGTTAAGATGGAAATATCCGTTTCTTCGGAACCAGCCCATTGACTGTTCCCCTAGGAACTGATATTTCGATCTGAACTGCAACATATTGCAGATATTATTAATCTAGTTTGAGGGTAACTGTTTACAATTTATAGCAAATAGTGACTTGAGAGTGGAATATTTCCATCTGTAGCCATTGTTTGAGTCTTTTTCTTGCATATTACATAATTTTGAAAGTAGATATTTTTGTTTAGCATTCTTATCTGATAGTATTTGCTTATATTTGCTTATAAGATCTTGCTTGTCTAGACAATTGGTTATATGGATCTTTATGCTTACTGTGTTGCTTTCATCAAATATATTGTAGTAGAAACTCACTACAAACTAAAATAAACCCCCTCAAACTAGTGTGTGTGTGTTTTGTTGAAGTGAAGGTAGTATTTATGTGAGAACAAAGTAAATGTTGGAGAAGTACATTGAAATTTTAAATATATATGCTTGTAGACTAGATCAATGTATCCACTAGTGTGAAGATGTTAACATATTTGTAATTTATATTGATAATATATCTTGTAAATAGGAAATCTAGCAAAGTTATTTCTCCACAGAACTGAAGTAAGTAGTTTGTCTTGAAAACAAAGTTTGGAAGGATAGTTCAATTTGATTAACAACTTGGAAAGTGTTTATTTTTTCCCCCTATGTTCATGGTTCCACTTGTACATGGTGATATCTTGTGTTGGTATATGTGTATGTTTTATCAGTATAATTATGTATGTTTAAAAAATAAAAGTTTGACATAAAAACATATAATAGGAAGAGTTTATCATAAAAAAACACTGAATCAAAACATCATTTCAACATCAGGTTTTCTGGAAGTACATTTCGTATCTATATGATTTTAATTTTAAGACCGTACATTGTACATTAATTAATTTTGTATTTTAATTTGTCCAGAAGTGTTACTACAAAGCTGACTTTATTGATAAAAAACAATATAGACCATGATAGATAAATAGTTTGACTTTAAGTATGATGTATTGAATGTAGATTTAGACAAGTATGATGTATTGAATGTAGATTTAGACAATCTCATTTTTTGGTTATTTTTTAAGATTAATAAATTAATATTTTAATCAGTTACAATTTAATGCATTTCATATGTTATTCTTATGCCCCCACAAAGTGGGAGCATATAGCATTGCACTTGTCCGTACGTCCGCACTCACAGGAGAGTAATTATGTGGCTAGAGGGACAATGGGTAACTGTTCTTTCTCTTTGATGTCATTCATTCCGTAATGCTTTTATGTGGCTATTTTCTTTTGCGTGGCTAAAAAGAACAATAGAGAGAACAATAGAGTAGCCACATAATTACTGTCCTGTGAGAACTTCCGTCCGTACGTACGTCTGTCCGTACGTCCCGAAATCTTGTGAACGCAACTCCTCTTAAACCAGATGGCAGATTTTGCTTAAACTTCCAGGGATGAACAACCTTAATGTGTAGATGGTAGTAAAGGAAGGAATTTTTGCTGTGACCAAATTTAACAGAATTATGGCCCTTTGTTGATTTTTTCACTATATACTATGTAGATATTTTGTGAATGCAACTCCTCTTAACTGGATGGCAGATTTTTCTTTAACTTCCGGGGATGAACAACCTTAATGTATAGATGGTAGTAAAGGAAGGAATTTTTGCTGCGACCAAATTTAAGAGAATTATGGCCCTTTGTTGATTTTTTCACTATATACCATATAGAAATTATGTGAACGCAACTCCTTTTAAACTGGTTGGCAAATTTTGCTTAAACTTCCAGAGATGAACAACCTTAATGTGTAGATGGTAGTAATGGAAGGAATTTTTGCTGCGACCAAATTTAACAGAATTATGGCCCTTTGTTGATTTTTTCACTATATACCATATATATGTTGTCAGTGGGGGCATCCGTGTCCTTTGGACACAGTTCTAGTTTATCTGTTGTTAACTTTTATGCTTTTATCATTATTTATACCTTTATTATCTGTTATGACACATTTTTCTATAGTTTTACATTTATCTTTTATTGTTTATATTTCTTGTATCTGTTATTATATTTTTATCATGTGTAACAGTTATTATATTTAAGAAATAATATATCCCAAACTGTGATTTTATTGCTCAATAACATCACTGTTTGGAGTTCGGATGCCAGGAATTATATCACAAGGGGGTAGCCCGAGTGATATAATGATGCGCATCCGAACGACAAACAGTGATGTTATCAAGCAATAAAATCACCGATTTGGATATATTATTTCGAATCTAACACGATATCAACAAATAAATGCTGCCGTACCTGATATTTAGCTAAATTGCGCCTGATTTGTTTCCGTACTTATTGTCAGCGCGTCACATTTTTAGTGGTTACGTCACGTGTATTATGATGACGTCACATGTCTAAATATAGAACGTCAAACAGTGATTTTATAGCATAATAACACACACTTTCGGTTCTTCTATGTTCAATAGGGAAAATTGCGAGTCGTGTTAGAATTTATCTTTTTACATTAACTAACAATGTTTATTTACTAAGAATTAATATTGTTTGTTGTTATGCCACAAACATTTACTAACAGCATGATGTATGGGAGAAAAGAAAAAACATGTTCAGTACAATGAGGTGTTTCTGAATACTTTTCTTTGTTCTGAAAATCTAATGATAGATAAATCTTTCCCTCTTAGCCCATAACATGCTTTATTTGTGTAAAGTATTTGCCCTGCTACAAATATGGAACTTTATTTGTGTAAAGTATTTGCCCTGCTACAAATATGGAACATTATTTGTGTAAAGTATTTGCCCTGCTACAAATATGGAACATTATTTGTGTAAAGTATTTGCCCTGCTACAAATATGCAACAGTGTTTTTATGTTGAAGGGATTTCAATATCAGACTACAAAAATTGAGCTACCAACAGTATAGAGCCTGGTTAGACTGTACAAATGTCCAAGCTGGTCTGGCTCTATACTTATAGCAATGACTTATCACTTGCAGCAGGTTAATGGTTGAAATAAAACGTTGGTTCTGTTAAATAATAGCTTTATGTTTTTATGATGATTTATGATATAATATTTAATACTTACATATTGAAATTAATCAATGAGATATAAATCTTACAAAATCATGTGAAATATAAAACTTTGGTGGTTCCTGTTTTTCTCATTGAAATACATATGTGTGCAGTCTGACCAGGCTCTATATTGTTCTAAGTTCTCCACACACTCCCTTAAAATGAGAATAATTGTAAGATTTTATATACATGTATCACATGAAGCAAACAACACCTTAAAATCACTGTTTAATATGCATATATGTAAAGCTAGTGTTAAGTTTAAAGAATTACATCATGGTTACATTATATTGAAAAACAAGTGCCATCAGTAATAACAGATTATGAACAAGAAGAAACACAATTTTTTAATCAACTAGGTACAGATTCTGGTGCTTTATTTATTCTTCAAACAAAAGAAGTTTCTATTTATGCATTGCTAGCTTTTGTTACTGAAGAAAATGGATAGAAGATGTAGGCTTAAGATAGTTATATTCTTAAAACAGGTGAAGAAAATAGATTTATATGAAAAATCAGATACAATGTATATTTATACTTAGTTCATTAAGATCATTGAACCATTTGAAATAAAAATGATTTTTATCTTTCTTCAGGGCGTTTCAAAAATTGCCTCCGTCGCTCAGGAAAGAAGTCAGTGTTCAGTCTCGGTAATTTCTTACATTCCCACAAAGGATTTGACAGGTTGAGTACAGAGGATGACGATCATGATTATGATAACGTACTTGACGATGATTCTGACAATGAAAAGTTTAATATTGTCAGAAAAGCATAATTAATATTGAAACTTTGTCAGAAAAGTGAAAATTTGAAAAGTCGCAAAAATTGAATGTTTATTTATTTTATTTGTTTGGAAGTTAATGGGTACATGATATATGAAATATTACATGTATAAGGTTATTGTTGTAGATTTGAGAAGTGTTCAGATGTTAATTTATAAATGGCAATAATTCTTTGTATTAAAGCACAAGTGTGAATCTTAACAAGAAAGGAGTTTGAAGGAATTTTTGTACAGATTTAAATTCACTTTTTTGTTAACTCTAGCTATAATTATTGATAAACGTGTATGTGTTTTAAGGAAAGTTATTCTGAAGTACCAGAATTATAATGTTTATGAACTAACTTTTAATCTGAATGCTAGACACTTTATGTAAGCTGTCACGAGATATAGCCCTAACCCTTACCTTCCTAATTCATCACTCTTTTTGTAATATGGAAAAAATAATTCTTACTTACATTAGAGATTCAAGTTATGAATTATTTCTTTATTTTTTTCTAGATACTAGTCAAGATATATTTATTATACATGTATATAATATGCATGAAAGGCAATTGTACATGATTTTGTTTACAAATTTGTGTTATTTCCAGAACATATTTTCCTGATATTGAAAAAGTCAACAAATATTGTATCAATAATGTAACTTTTGTTAACTAGACAATTATTCAGATAATTCCTGTTATAGTTGATCTCTTAACAAAACCATAATGCATTGTTTGTTCAGATCATACACAGTTTTTATACAGTTACTTTCATTAAGAGTAAGATTAAGCCCTGACAAAACATGGGTTGATATAACTATCATTTGGTATATATTTAACAAAGAGAAAATATTTATTTTCTAAAGATTTATTTAGTATTTGTTCTCCCTTTTATTTATGAAAGGCCATTGACAGTTAAGTAGGCTCACCAGTAAGTATTATAATGAACATATTAAATAAATTTTGTTTTCTATAGTAAGTTGACTGAGGGACAGCATTTCATAAACCAGTGTCATGGCATGGAAAATAACTTTTAGAAAAAATATGGACAATAACTTTTCATAACAAAAATGGCTCACAATTCTGGATCAGTTTATCCTAATGACTTGCTTATTTTGTAAAGAAAACATTGTACCAAATTGGCTTTATTATCAAAAATAAAAGTATAATGTTACATTCCATGTATATTAGTTAATTTTCATAATTGGACATAATTTATGTAAGTTTTGGGATTAAATCTGGTAGGTCTGTTTGAGACTGCTATTTCAGTTTGACCGATATTAATGTTCTTTAATGAAATTAAGTAAATATTTGTGAAGAATTTTATAGGCAACATGCTTTGTCTTTTTCTTGCCATTTTGTAAACATTTCTTTTTACACAAGATAGGTAATTTCTTAGCATTTAAACTTTACGTTAAAATTGTATACCTTCTCCCACAGCTCTCTCTTTTCATTATAATGTAAAGATGAGAAATAACATAGAGTGCCAAAATTTAAGTCATTTCCTAATGATTTGGAAATAGTTCTAGGGCAATGTGACCGAATAATGGAACGTGTTCAAGTTTTATTGAATAAGTTATTTTATTGTTTTATTTTATTTTAAACTCAATAAGTTACCCATATAAGCTTAATGAAGTTTTAGAGTTAAAACATGATATGTGGAACTTTTATATTGTTTGTTTAGGCAACAACTATATATTTCAATTAAGAATTTTTTATTTTTGATAGCTTTTGAATTTATTTGTTTAAAGATGAAAATTTTAAGTATTTTTGTATTTTAATAACAACATGTTTCAAAAGTGTGTTTTTTTCCAAGGTCATATAGATTAGACATAATTTTTAAGTAAGAAGTAAAGGTGAACTATGTTTTCCAATAAAAGCATTAAGAAAGCACCCCAGTCATTAAGCCTTGAACTGCATTTTGATTTTTAAAAATTATATATATATATATATATATAAGTAAAATCTCTAACTTGCCGTATATAAGCAAAAACGCTAATTTAAATTTGCCGAAGCTTTCGGCCTTGCGGCCTTCTTAATGTTAATTATGTTAATTCATAAATGGCAATAATTCTTTGTATTAAAGCACAATGTATAAATCTTAACAAGAAAGGAGTTTGAAGGAATTTTGAACACATCTGAACACAAGGCCGAAAGCTACGGCAAATTTAAATTAGCGTTTTTGCTTAAATATATATATTGTACACTATTGTTTGTGATGTTTTGTTGTTTGTTGTTGTTGTTGTTTTTGATGTTGGGTATAAGATCTTATTTCATATTATTCATTTACATGATAGGTTTATCATTCACATTTACAGCATTGTTATGCTCCCCGAAAAATTTCGGGGGAGCATTTAGTCGTTGGGTTGTCCGTCCGTCTGTCCCACAGTCAGTGAGTCCGCACTCACAGGACAGTAATTATGTGGCTAGAGGGACAATAGGTAACTGTTCTTTCTCTTTGATGTCATTCATTCCGTAATGCTTTTATGTGGCTATTTTCTTTTGTGTGGCTAAAAAGAGCAATAGAGAGAACAATAGAGTAGCCACATTATTACTCTCCTATTAGAACATCCGTCCGTACATACGTGCCAGAATTCGTGTCCGGCCCTTAACTTTGTTATTTGAAGTCGGATTTTACAACTTTTTCACAGAAATGATCACCATATTGAGATGACGTGTTGCATCAACATTTGGGTTGTTTTTACACCTTGAACTTTGTCTGTGACATAACTCAGACACTACAAGAGGTATACCTTCCTGTGTCCAAAACCTCTTCGGGGAGCATCACCCGGTTAAACCGGCTCTTGTTTTTTTTATCAAATACTGATATAATTGTTTTCCATGTTATTTACAATAGAGATGTTATAATAACAATATGCTTTACAGATCACTTGATGTTATAATAACAATATGCTTTACAGATCACTTTATATCTTGTTATATTATTATAAAGGACAAGATGTAAATTTATAAATAGAAATATCTCTACTCACTACTATTAATTTTGATATACAAACTTACTTATTTTAAGATTAATATTTTCTTTTTCTGAACTCACCAATTCTAAATTAAACATGTAATGAACTTAATGAATTATAATATTTTTATTGAACTTACTTATAACTTAATAACACATGACTAAATTTTTGTATAGGCTTTTAATTATTTTCTTATATGAACTTACTTAAAGTTACATTTAATAAATTTCATAAAAAACTAAATAGCGACATTTCATTAATAAATTGGGTTTTATATCAACTCCAGGTCTTATTTTGGTGTCCAAACAACCAAAATGAGTTTTATTAGCATAAAAATAGGTAACCTCATTGTGGCGAAATGGGAAGTACACTTTCTGTTTGCATGAGAAACTCCGCCTTCGGATCATCCGTACATCAATATTAAACCAACAAACATGACTATAAGTGCCAGTCCTAATTTAACGGTATATTTCCGCATTGTAACGGATGTTTTCATACAAATTTAATCTTTTTACGAGATGATTACTTTTACTGAACCCCAGGTTTAGTGCACCGTGAAGCTTAAACGGTTAAAGTGTGTTTGCACAAGAAAATATCACATTTGCTAACTATAAAACTGTGACGTAGCGCATACACGAGCTAATTATATAGTCTTCATTTGCATGTTAAAATTCGTATACGAACTTTAGTGTTACCGTGGGGTTTCCCGTTTAAAATCCTAATTTATGAACAATATTTGATGAGATTTACAACAAAACTTTTAAACAGGTTAATGAAACTGTAGAATGTCTGATTTTTAGGCCGACGGAAAAATATTTTTACATATTTATTTAATGTAACTTTAAACATAAATTTTTTTATGAACATACTAATATTAATTAGTAATTTTATTGTGTTATATAAACTTATAATAAGTTATCTGTAAAAAAGAAATTTTATATGAATTTACAGAATAATGAAAACATAAATTTATAATCTTGCTATTGGTAACTTTGATAAATGAATTTACTTAATTATAGTGTATTATGAACTTATTTTTTGAACTTACTTATAATAAGTTATGAAAATATATAATCTTGCTTATAATAACTTTATACTAATTGAATTTACAAGTTTAAAGTTAAAACTTTACTCAGTAAAGGCAGCATTAATGACTTGGTCTTACTTACAGTAAGTTTTATAACTGTATTAACTAAACTTACTTACGATTGTTATATAATTAGTCCCCTACCGGTTTACCGGAGGGGACTTTAGGTTTACCCTCCGTCCGTCTGTCCGTCCGACTGTCTGTCATTCCGTCAGTCCGTCCGTCCACAAAACTGGATCCCGCGATAACTTGAAAAGTACTGAAAATATTTTTATGAAACTTGGTATATGGATAGATGGCAATATGGAGATTATGCACGTCTTTTTATTTTCTTCCTATGTTGAAAATTCTGGTTGCTATGGCAACAAATAGGCTGAAAATATGGCAAATTTTACACATAAACTGGATCCAGTGATAACGCAAAAAGTACTGGAAATATTTTTATGAAACTTGACATATGGGTAAATGGCAGTCTTGAGATTATGCACATCTGTTTCTTTTCTTCCTATGTTGAAAATTCTGGTTGCTATGGCAACAAATAGGCTGAAAATGTGGCAAATTTTACACATAAACTGGATCCAGTGATAACTCAAAAAGTACTGGAAATATTTTTATGAAACTTGACATATGGGTAGATGGCAGTATTGAGATTATGCACATCTGTTTCTTTTCTTCCTATGTTGAAAATTCTGGTTGCTATGGCAACAAATAGGCTGAAAATATGGTAAATTTTACACATAAACTGGATCCAGTGATAACGCAAAAAGTACTGGAAATATTTTTATGAAACTTGACATATGGGTAGATAGCAGTCTTGAGATTATGCATGTCTTATCTGTTCTTCCTATTTTCAAAAAATATCTGTTGCCTTGGCAACAAAAAGGCTTAAAACATGGCAAATATAACAATATTTGTGATTAGTCAAAAAGAGCTGAAAGTTTTTATGAAATTGCATCTTTAATCTCCTTTTTAAGAATTTTGCTTTTAAAATGTTATATTTTGGTAACAGGGATGTTTGAAATATTAACTTTAGAGTGTCCTTCAGACCGTCTGTCTGTCTGTTCATAAAAACTGTTTCCTGTGATCACTTTTAAAGAACTTTTCCAACAAATTTACTTAAAATAGAGAAAAATTGAAACATTAGTGAATGGCCAATGGCCCTTCAGAATGTTGATGGGGTTCTAACCGGTAGGGGACTTATGGATTGCTTGCAATACTATGATAATTGCTTGTTTTTCTATAAACTTATAAATCATAACTTACTGAGTTTAATGGGTTTTTTTACATTTGTCTCTGTGTGGTATTTACAGTGGTTTTGGGGAATCATATTAAGTTTGTGTGTCTGTCTGGTTTATCTGAAATCTGTATTTCCCTGATCATAAACTATATTAACATAAATATACACAATATGAAGTATACACTGAACTTTCTTCCCTCATGTCAATATTATGCTAATGAAAGTTTATTATAACTCTTCCTGTTTATGTATACATTTTAAACATTCCAAACTGAACAGTGTCACCTAGGCTTGGCTCATTTGTGTTGCTTGCAATACCAGTGGTTAGTTTAATAATTAAACTACTGGAACTAGAAGTAACCAATCTTTGTCATCAGTCCTGGCTATTACAGCTCTATACTGGCTCTCTACTTGTAGCTCAAGTTTACCTTCACATTCAAATGGAATGTTCCAAATTCAAGGTAGTGAAGATACAGTAACTAAATTCAGCAGGTAAAAAAGTTCCGATGTGTCGGGACCATAATTGTGGCCATCAACATCAATAGATCATTTAGTATGTCTGTGATGAGATGCATGGAAAATAAATGGTGTTATAACTTTATTTGACATTGTTATGTAGTGACTGTATAATCATTTATACTAGTTTTGATGATCTTATAAATGAGTATGGAATGCTTGATTTATGTATCTTAGTTAATTTGTCAAATTTTCAAATATGCCAAAGTATAATTCCTGCATAAAATTGTAGCTTGAAACTTTAAAATTGTTTTGTCTGTTTGTACTCTTTTAATGTACGTTTTTTAGCTCAACTTTTTTTTTTTTTTGAAAAAATAAAAAGTAGAGGTATTGTTATAGTCCTGGCGGCGTTTTACTTTACCATTGATCATTTCATTGTAGTAATATCCTCCAGCTACTTCTCATATGTTTTTGTAAAATATAAGCATATTTTACAGCAATTATATTGTAAAATGTTATTTTCAAACTTTGAGTAAGAAAAGAGAAATTGTAAAGGCAATTACATTTGTGATTAGTAAATTACATCAATTCTGTATACTGTCTTTGAAAATTGAACGGTGCTTGTCTAGAATTTTAAATAATATACTTAAGCATTTATCAACATGCATTTGTACAGTTGTTTGATATTAGGAAAGCATACTGTGTTATTAACATCAACATTGAATGTTATATTTTTAGCTCACCTGAGCTAGCTCAGAGTGAGCTTTTAGGATCGTTGAAAGTCCATCATCCATCCACACTTGTTCGTAAATGCTCTAGCGGTCACATTTTTGCCTCAATCATCATCAAACTTTGTCATGATGCTTATCTAGGCTCGGATGAGTTCGAACATGGGTCATCTCGGATGAAAAACTAGGTCACAGGAGCTAAAAATAGAAAAACCTTGTTAACACTCTACTGGTCACATTTTTGACTCAATCATCAAACTTGGTCAGGATGCTTGTTTAGGTAATTGCTTGGATGCGTTCGAACATGGGTCATCTCGGATGAAAAACTAGGTCACAGGAGCTAAAAGTAGAAAACCTGGTTAACTCTCTAGTGGCTACTGTTTTGATCCAAATATGGAAATTGATCTGATAGTTTGTTTTGATTTCTAGGTCAACTTTGAATATGGGTCACCTGGGTTCAAAAACTAGGTCACACTGCCCAAATATGGAAAAACCTTGTTAACACTCTGGTGGTCACATTTTTGACTTGATTATCATCATACTTGGTCAGGATGCTTGTCTAGGTAATTGCTTGGATGAGTTCGAACATGGGTCATCTCAATTGAAAAACTAGGTCACAGGAGCTAAAAATAGAAAAATCCTGTTAACACTCTAGCGGTCACATTTTTGACTCAATTGTCATCAAACTTGGTCAGGATGCTTTTCCAGGTAATTGCTCGGATGAGTTCGAACATGGGTCATCTCAATTGAAAAACTAGGTCACAGGAGCTAAAAATAGAAAAATCCTGTTAACACTCTAGTCATGGAAATTGGTCTGAAAGTTTGTTTTGATGATTTCTAGGTTAAGTTCGAATATGGGTCACCTGAGGTCAAAAACTAGGTAACACTGCTCAAATATGGATAATCCTTGTTAACACGCTAGTGGTCAAATTTTTGACTGACCTGTCATGAAATTTGGTCAGAATGCTTGTCTAGGTAATTGTTTGCATGAGTTTGATGTGTCAGGTGAGCGATCTAGGGCCATCTTGGCCCTCTTGTTATGTGATTGTTGTTATATATTTCATTTCACATTTATATATCACCTGGCATTGGTATTATCTTATCTTGGTGGAAAGTGGCTTTTCAATAATGCACACTACTGATTATTAAAGATTCTGTGTTAATATAAGAAGAGAGTACAATTAAAATTGTTTTCGTCTTTGAAATGAGCAACTGATGATATCCACAATTTGCCTAGCATGACATACATAATATCGTACATGGTTAAATGACATTTATATGCATGTGCGATTATACCATGTAACATTTTTGACATTTTCTGAAATAATATTTAAATGTATTGTTGTTTCGTGTATCTATTGTTTTAATAATTTGTCATTATCTAAAGTACTGTAGGTGTTCCTTCAACAAATAAACATGTGTTTCTATTCTATTTTCTAGTTTGACATGTTTTCTTCAATAATCAGTACCTCACAATTTACTTTCACAATCTGCACAGATGTATCATGTAACCTTTAGCATATATTTATTATTTTTCTTTTATGCACTAAATTACTATTTTTTATAGATGTGATTTTAGCACTCCAGAGCACAGAGTGCTCAAGGTGAACAATTGTGATCGTCCGTCTGTTCGTACACACGTTTGTTGAAACAACATGTCCTCCTAAACCACTGAACCCTTGTGGCTGAGTTGTTGAGGCATCAGAATTCCAAGGTTTCCTGTTCTAGCGCTAAATCACCTAAATTGTGTTGGTGTGCGGTAAAACCAAATGAAAATCCTAAACTTTTCATAAAAACTTCATAGGAATTCTCCTTGGGTGATTCTCTTTCAGTTCTATCGTTGTTTACCATGCGTAACTGGTTGTCATTATAATCCAAGGGGAAAACCATCTTTAAAAAACTGTTAGTCAAATTATATATTTTTCACAGAAATGATCTTTGCACAAGCCTCCATTAATTGAAAAAAAAATACACATAAAAAGAAAAATAAGTCTCGGAAAAAGTCACTAATAATGAAAATAATAAACAGAGTCTGTGATTTAATTAAATGATTTGCAGACTGGTTTCTTTCATGAAAATCGAGCCAAAAGTTACTTAATATATAGATGTACAATTAAAGAGAAATCGATTAAAGAGAAATCGATTAAAAACGTGTCGGTTAAGTCTATTGGTCATATTCGATACAAGGATTTTCAAATAATTCTGATCAATACAAAAAGCGCCATAGCGATTGGGTTGTGTCAGCTTCAAATATATAGAGAAATGTTTGTCAGTCTTTTTGTGTAAACTCTGGTGAGCGACACAGGACTAGTATAGCCCTTTATTGTATATATTATATGATCTAGTTTCAAACATGTTGAAGGGCAAAAGCTAAGTAAGTTAGAAATATGACATTTTATAAAAAAAAGTTTTACTGACTGTCTTATATAATCATATTGATTTTCATAATGTCCATATTTTTTTGAAATTTAGAGAGAAAGCAGGGGTAGGGATTTTGCTGTACTGTTGTAGTTATAAATATCATGTAGATGATCTGTATAGAATATATTGCTTTAATCTGTTTTATATGGAAATATTTAAACTAATGGTATTTATTTTAAAACATAATATATTTAAAACATAATTGTGATATTTAAGATTTATTTGTTATAGAATTTTCATGAATATTATTAATAGAAAATGAAATGTTTATAAATGTCGTTTTGTACATCATGTGGTTAATGTCATGTGAATTGAGAAGTCAAATTAGTGATAAATAAAAACATTTTGTCCTGTTATATTTTGTGTTTTGTTTATATTTTTTGTTTAAAGAGAAGTTTAGTCTATTTGAATTTTAAATTCAACTTTTCACCACAAAGCCACAGAAGACCGTTGACGGAGTCATTTGCCTTTTGCTAATTTTCAAGTTAAGTGACAATCCAGCATGCCTACAAAACTTCGTTGGCCCACACGTACCCAAAATAATGACGCTTAATGTCTTCCTCTTGCAATTAAGCTGAAAAGTTATACATGTACATGTAATAGTACATTTGGCTTTATAGTGTTGATATAACTTAAAAGCAAAATACTACTAAGGGCTTGATTTCGGCAAGGAAGTTTGCACATTTGCATGTTAGCTAACTTTGCCGTCAGCTCATGCTCTAGGGTGTACCTGCGGTACAGTTTGAAAGTCATCATATGGCCTTTACAGTATCGCTGTCGGACCGTATATAAATGGCCAGACCGAATATGGTTCGAAGTTGGCACACGTGTGACATTCGGTCGAATATGGAATATAAAATGAGCCATATTCCGTTGGATTGAATTTTTTAATGCTCACCAAAACGTATTTGTCCATTATCAAAAATGCACAAAAAAAATTAAAATACCAACGAATATGTCACGTGTTGTTGTTGTTTTATTTTTACTTAAACGCACAATACCGTTTATTAAAAAAAGACCTAATGACGGAATCGTAAACACAACCGCCATCTTCATCACCATCATCAGCAGCAGACAAGCTGCAGTAGCATTTACAACAAAAACTACATGAAGTACTATATGTACATGAAATTTAATTCTTAAAAAAAATTATCTTCAACATGGCAATAAATCTTATTAAAACCATAGGACACATATGTCCCCACTACCCATCTTTTACAAAATTCCCTGAGTCAAGGACTATAACAATGACAGCACCTATCAAATCTATAAGTGAAATCCCAAATGCACAACAACACATGCTGACCAACATTCTTGTAAGGTTTTTTGACTCTGCTTTTAACGATTTTTAGCTAGTCAGCCACACGTGAAAATTTCAAATTATAACTTAGTAAATGACAACAACTCTGGCATTACTGTGCAATTTCCACACGAAAACCTCACGCGCACAACAATATATATTATGCTTACAAACATTGATATAAAAATTAATGACCCTAGCTCTAATTGTTTTTCAACAACATGCATGACAAGTTGAAAATTGCTGATTTCGTCTAAGTAAGGGGCAATAACTCTGGCATAAATTCGGGAAATTGACAAGCGAAACCAAATGTACACAACTAATATTCTGTGTAATACCCACGTAAAGTTGCATATACTGTTTGGGCTACATGCGACATATGTATAAATTGCAAAGTTGTACTAAGTGAAGGCATTACTGCGGGAATCGACAAGCTAAACCTCAGGTGAACATACATTCATGTAAGTGTCATGACCATGCCCCTAGTTCACATACTGTTGAAGCTACACGCGACATAAGTTGAAAATTACCGATTTGACTAAGTCAAGGGCAATACCTTTGGTATGACTGCTCAAATCGGCAAGCGAAACCCAAGGTGCACAGTAACATAATGCTGACCAACGTTCCTTTTAAATTTCATGATAATAATGATGATGATGTTGTTGTTGTTGTTCATGATGATGATAATGTATTATTAACGTTGATGAAGGTAGGTTAAAATGATAATTTTAGTTTTCTGTGTAAGATGTGTGACATACACAGTCAGGCATTTACTAACGATTTTACAGAAACGTATATGGCACATACAGACAGCTGTGATTCATTCGGCCGAATATGTTCAACACGTGTGACATATACGTTCCGTGACATATACGGTCCGACAGTCGCTATGAAGAACTCGATTTTATGGTGCAACAACAATTTGCTCGGCGGCGGATTTGGTATATGATTGCTGAGGCAATACTAGCATGAAGAATTATGGAGAATGTTCATATCAACCATATAAAAGAACAGAAATAAACAAATATTCTCTTGTTATTTCAGAAACACACAGTGGTGTAAAGCAATTTTCCATATCTACCAGTTCTCGTTTATCGTATGTTGTAAGTTGTAATAAACAAGACTGAAACAATTTACTTGAATAGTTTTGACTTTTCACATGCGTACCATTTTGACCATTTATACAATTATATCTAATCGTTAAAAGATTCGAAAAACCTTAACATAACTCATTTGTTTATATATAGGAGATAGTTGAGCCATTTATATAAAAATGTTAGCTTTTATGTACCATGTACATGTACCAACTTTATATTTAATTTGTGTCTTTAACGAACAGGTAGACATAAATACGCCGTTGGACGTCTTTATAGTAAGAAAATAGGTATCTCAAAATTACAATATATTTGCTGAAGTACTTCAATCAAGTGCAAACAAATGTTTTTGCGTTCATTTTTCCAAATAATTTTAAACTATTTAAATTCAATTCGCCATTGTGTAAACAGTTTGAAATCCATATTCACAAATAACAAAGCATGGTTCAAGAGGGATCAGTTTCAATAAATCATATCTGATATTTTAAGCATTTCACTGCAAGTTAATAAAATGTATCATAAGATTCGAATTACTGAGGTTAACAAAGTTATGACCTAAGTGAAACTCGTGTCAATCAAGGCAAATAATTTCTCAGAAAATCTTGACAACAAGACCAAAAGTTAAGACAGCCAAAGTGTTTAATGTTTTGTCAAATTGTCTTAGTCATTCTGACATAAATAATTAAATTATTGATCATAAACGAGGTCAAAGACTCACAAGTTTATCAGCGCAGTCATATGTTTTACAATTGAATGAATACTAGTCGTATTATTCGTATGCCACTGCTTCAAATATAATATACAAAATATATTCTTTATCTATGAGCGGAATTTAAATATTTGAAAACAATTCACATGAAATAAGCCATTGAAATTTAAATACATCTTTTAAATGATGAAATAGAAACAGTTTCCTTAAGGTGATGAATAACTTATAATAATAAGTGTAGCATTTGAACATTCAATACGTATATCCAATATAATAGCATCTCTTATCAACAAATATGGGGAAAACTTAAAACCAAAACCATAGCTTACTTGTAGTGCTAGAGATTGACTGGGAGATGATGCCCGTACTTCATCTCAGTGTTGTATATATTTCGGGTCCTTCAATATAACTGAATACATTACAATTTAGAGAACCATGTTGAATATTGCCTAAGCCGGTGCTAAGGTGCCTAGAAAATGTTGCACTTGTCCTTTATTTTCTTACAGTCTTTTAGTATGAAATTACTGCGCAAAGGTTTGATGAAAATAATAAAACATATAAATTATCGTATGAAACCTTTCAAAACTTAATGTTTAAGTCCGAATGTAAGAGCCAATAGCAATACAAAAGGTTAGATATATAAAGCAATAACAACTGTGTCAAGATGTGATGAACGTGTTATTTTAGACACAATTCTTTTGAAAATCATGTATAAAGCATCTCAAAATCATATTATCAAACACACATAAAGAATACAACAATGCATCATTTGTTGGTAATGACGATTTAAGCCAACAAAACATGCGTGTTCTATAATAATTTTTCAAATTGACGTAATATCACATGCGTTTGCAATGGAATGTAGAGTTCCGGAGTCGATATTATTTAAAACAGCTTGTCTGATGTTTACAATTCTTATTTGGTCACAAATACCATAGGCAACACATCGTTATATTTCAATTACTATTTCTTCAAATATGAATACCGTAGCTTTCGTTTTTGATATCATTGCCGATTTATTTGACTAATGCAAACATGATGCAAACACGATTGTTTTTGCATACATAAATGAACAAAGATTTTCATTATAGAATATTTATGGAGATTGTGCAACCACCCTACCATAAAATTGAATGTTTCACCAACAAAATTGTCAATAAACAGTCGAATTATGGTAGAATATAAGTGGAAGACTATTCCAGAAATTAGAATGCCATTCTGTAACTTTCATTTATAGTATAGGCGATGTAAATCTTGGCTTCGAGCAGTTTTAACCCATTTAAATAGTCGTTGGATATATTATTTCGTTCATCTCTATTTCATTTAGATCTCTATTAAAATCTTTTGAAAAATTTTGTCCAAGATGATACGATGTGTTTTTATTAAACTTTCATCCGATCTCAAGCTTTTTATGCATTCTTTTATAGTCAGATATTATGTCACTATATTGTCTTTGAAGTCTAAAATATTTCAAAATCCTAAACTGAAAAAAAAACACATTGAAGACTGCAATAAGTAGATTTTACATATATCTTTTATACATGTACTTAGTTATACATTATAGTATATACCAACATTTCTTACAGATTCGTTATCATGGAATATAAGATAAAAATTAAGCGTTTCCTTTTATAGACAAAAAGGTACTAAAATTACAATATAAGGACCTGTTAAAATATACTTAGAAAAAAATATGGATGACCCAGCAAGTGACTTTAAATATAAGAATGTTGAATAGAAAATGAGAATATCTTAGGGAGATATTGGACTCCAGAATATTGTCTATAAGAGTAGACCAATATTTCTTAATAACCGTACATAAGTACCCTTTGATCTACAATATAACTTATAGAGGATGAGATAGCATAGTGAGGTATTTCATTTGTCAACAATGATTCATGCACGAGGTACGATATATCTTATACATAGGTGTAACGCTACACCAACATATATCGATTAAGCAGAATTGTTTACGTTAACAAAATTTATATCTAAAGAAGTAAAATGGTGTATTAAAATAAAATAAATTGAACCGATGTGTACATTGAGTTTTGATTCAAACAGTTTGTATACATAAGCTAATGAGCGAAATGATTTTTGTGATTGTTGTGAATTTAGATATTTCCCAACGCCTTTAAAAGGCATGGGAATGACAAATGATTAAAATTATATATGTTAAATCTAGCAAAAAACAACAACAACAACAAAAATAACCTCTCACTAGTCCCTGACAACTCGACACAATACACAGAT